TCCCTCTCTTCTCCCTGTCTAGTGTACTTATGCGTTGTCTGATGTAACACATTTCCAGTGTGCCAGCATTTCTCCCAGCGGTGTTGCGTCACATATCACTCAAAGTCCTTTAAGAGATCCAGCAGGAGTGCCAGTGAGCGGTGACCTTCAAATACTTTTCCACAAGTGTTACCTAGGCACACCTGAGAGGAGGTTTCCCTGCACACACATGCACAGCTGCGTGAGCGGTGGCTATAAGGAATAGCTGCTACGCTGATTCCCAGATTAGGCAACATGCAGCAGCGCCGGTGTCAGATCGTCTCGGTGATAGTGGGAACATGGCGCCGTCATGCACGAACACAGTGAGCTGTTATGAAATGGGCCTGCAACTTCTGGCTGGCTCTCTCACACTTCATGACCCACTAACACACACCTCAGCTAACGAGAAACACGCAGCAGACACAGTGGAATGTGACTCTTTTGAATGGGATTCAGACAAAGATTCTGTGGCCTAGTTAGTGTCCTGGGAAAATAAAATCTGATGTTGAGATGATTTGACTGACTGATTTAATGAGTTTACTGAAACGCAGACAGCATTTTTACTGGTAAGGATGATGCTGCAAGGTATGTGGGAAACAGTGTGAACCGGATCATTAAATAGATTATCATATATTATGTCATCTTAATTAGTTGTATCTACAAGACTAAGTATTCTCATTTCTAATCCATGTGCAGTACATCTGGATACTGATCGGGGGAAACTTCTACAGTAAGAGTTGCAGGAGGAATCCTCGCCACAACAAACTTGACACATTTCTCAGACCTCTGCCGCCCCCCAGTGGAATCATTGTAAACATATGAGTACACTACTGTATGTGGAGAGACCTAAGTTATGCACTGACAAACATGAATCAAACTACAACTTTAAAATAATGCACTGCCAAGTTCAAATCTGATAATGTTAAAAAAAACAATGTGATTTTCTAAGGATTTACTTCTTTCTTTCTTTGTGTCTTGAGCTGTCACTGAAACTGTGACACCTCTGTCCATATTTTTTTTTACTCCCAGCAGCAGTAAACAACCCTACATTTCCACGGTATGTTGCACTGCGGGATATCAGACACTTAAAAATCCTTTTGCCGTTCTTTTACTCTGAATGCAGCTCACTATAAACTCAAGGCATGGTTACAATTCATAGAATACAAGAGGGACACAGTCTCAACTGAATGCAGTCAGAAATCGCGGCCATAAAACGCAGCTTATGGCTTTGTACTGTAGATGTGACTATTCTGTGATAAATTGCCATCTCAACTTAACAGTGCAGCGGATGTTTTCCCTTTAAAACCACTGGAGAAAGACTGAGAGTCTGGACCTGGTTCTCTCTTGGCAGCGTAGCACGTGCTTATCCCCAGGAGTGTAGGCCTGCACGGGCCGCAGCAAAACAGCCCACCGCTCCTTAGCCTCCAGTGTCCCCCCACAGCCCCGCTCTCTCACACACAGGCCCAGTGTGTCCGGTCGGACTACACAAAGAGGAAACACGCATACTCCGCTTGACTAGAAACGAAAACACGCAGCTCTGTGAGAGACCCAAACGCAGCAGGATAGTCTCTCTGCACTCACAGGAAAGAGGCCGGGGCTGTTAAACTGAGATCACTCTGTACATTCATGCACTGAGCACATATTCATGGATACACAGGCACACATGTACAGCTTCAGATAAACACACATACATGCACATGTACACAACCACCAATACAGGAAATGGGTCAGCTGCAGCACAGGTATGCTTTACATCCTCTCCTGGCTCCCACTACCCGCCGATGAAAGGGAATACGGTGGTCTCTGCAGCCCTGGGCCCGACCCGCCCGAGCGTACAGCAGCCTATAAGAGGCCATTTCCTTCATAATCATCCCTGCCTTCCCTTGCCCTAATCTCCCAAAGGACAGTGGCAATTAGCCTGGGGAGGGCCTCACTGTAGCAGGGGCATCTGTGGCATCTCTGTTACCTCATGACCACTCATTGAAACACAAAAAAACACACATTCTGGCAACAGCGAGAGCCACAGCTTGGATTTCATGTCCCCCCCTTGGGTCCTCTTGTGTCTGCATATAATAGGCCTAAGCTTAACTTTTTCTCCTCCCTAATATGTCTAATGTTTCATTAGATATTTGTTCACTGGGCCTCTTTTTTCTTAATCTCTTGCCACCTTCTTGTTTGGTTGCTATTAATTCACTTCACTTCCCTTAATGGGATCTCTCTGCTGTGTCTATTTTTTGTCTACACATAAAAACACACACACACACACACACACACACTCACTCACTCTAGGCTCTGGATGTGGTTTACGCTTTGTCAACAACAGTTGGGGAAGAGATCTTTCAACCATGTCTTTCTGGCTTGTTGACATAGCAGTGAGGATTTCCTATTATACACAGCATTAATATCATCAGATAAACCTCCTACTCCCAGTTTGGAAATTTCCCCTCGGTGCCCCAACTGTGTCTGTGCGAGTCGGAACCTTGTTTGTGAAACATTTGTCTCTTTCTCATACATACAACCCTGATCACTCTCTGGGGATTAGTAGTGCAGAATCGTGTAAGTACCTGTGCAGGAGCTGCAGACGCCACTGCAGTAAATGACAGATACGGCTCCATGCTCCTGACACAATGCAAGTCATTGATTCCTCTTTGCTTTTGTAAGTAACAGCCCTAACCTGCACCATGCATGCATGAAAGCCACAAAAGAGCTGTTTTAGAGATAGTGGGGAGCTTTTTAAAAGATTATCCTGTCCTCAACTCATTACCGGGACTCGATAAGAGTTTGTCATCGCGTGGTAATGTTCCAGAGATCCTGTTGTTCCCCTATGCTGCCCCCGGCTAGCCCCTCGTCCCCGCTTTACTCTCTCTCTCTCGCTCATGTCTTTCTTAAATGGGTGAAGTGTGGTGTTGTGGTGAGGTGGGGCCATGGTCTGCTGAACACAGAGACATTCATCTAAATGGAAGCAGATAAAGATAGGGGCTTGAATACCTTCAACATAAACATCACCTGGAGCCCCCAGCGAGGGGCCCCCGGAACTGCTCGGCAGCCAATCGCAGTCTGCAAACTTCGGGGGCCGGTGACGGTGGGGTGGGTGGGGGGGGGGGGGGTAGTGGGTCAGTGGGATCTCAGATGATGAGATGATGATCAGGCCTGTGGGTTCCTTCCACGTCAGGCGACACCCCCCACATGTGGGCGAGGTGATGTAGGGGTGACAGTGATTGTGTGAGAGAGAAAGAGATGGATATGACCTACGAACACGTGCACATCAGGTCCACTGTGGAGCGGACAGGCAGGAAGAAACTGTAGATAATAGTGCGGAGAGAGGTGAGAAAAGTGAGCCGAGACTACAGAGATGTGGAGAAGATAGGCTCGGCTTTAAGGATGACAAACATGAGGGTGCATGTCAACACAAAGAAAAGCATGCAAATTTAATACTGCTGCACTGTATTTTTACGGTTATTATTTTCAACACATATCCAAAGGACAAGAGTCTCCCAGCAATCAGCATACCTCGACAAATAGTTATCCTCATGAATGCAGCAGCCACTCAGCCCAAAATAATTCCACCACCTGAGGTGTAAGCTGCCTGAAGAATCCTCGAAAATGTCTTGGGAGGGTGTTGAGAAAACAATGGAAGGTAGGATAATTATAGAGAGAATGAGGGAGAAATTGAGCTGTAACCCTCAGTGAGGAGCGGAAAAACAAACTGGAAAACATCTCACACAGACACAGAGGAAGAGACAGTGGGTTTGCAGTAAGTTGTGCGAACAGGCTTGGACCTGCCCTTCCTGGATAAAGCTATCTGTCAGCAGCACCAGAGAACATGCTCATGGGAACTGAATGACCTGCTGTACCTCACTGTCTACACCACACAGACTGTGCAGTGGTGGCTGTGCCTCTGCTTGCTGCACACAGAGGCCTGGTTCGATGGCTACTTACACACTTGATCGAGAAAGCGCAACGGAAATGACCGAATACGATTAATTTGGAGCCGGCTGTTAATTCTCGCCGTATGTAGCGTGAAGCAGTGAAGGCCAGTGATTTCCATCTGTTAGACGAACATTAAGTGCTCCTCACTGCCCTGGATCCAAACACACTTAATCTTGTGTTTCTGACACAGCTTTGAGTCTTATTTCAGGAAGATCAGCTACTGAGAGGAGAAATCCAAGCAGCAGATGGAAACAAGACTTCCAGGAAATTAGTGAAGGTTGTGGTGCAGCAAGAACATGAGTTGGCACATGGAGTCTGCCTGTTTTCTTTAAGTAGAAGAAAAGCAAGGACGGATAGAAAAAGGAGGGATAAAGGACATATAAGGTGGAAAAGGGAAGTGACAAGTGAGGACGTCTGGATGGGAGTTGCTATCAGAGCCATTTGGCTATCTGGGTGGTAGCCTGCATAAGCAGTTAGGACAGAATAGAAATCTTGTAGTGAGGCCCTGCATACTGATGACCTGGCTGCAACGGCTGGATCGGCTCTCCGGCGGTTATTCATTAAGCCATTAAAGGAACACAATCAAGTTATTTGTGTTTCAGACTGTTTTTCTTCTCTCTATGCTCTGCTTTTTTGGAGGAGAGAGAGAAGAAACAGAATACACGTCAATGAATAAATCTGAGGCGAAGAAAAGGGTGAAAACGGTTAGAGCTGGGCAGCGAGCTGAAGCCAGCTGTTGGCCCTCCTTCTGAGCAGAAAAGAAGTAATTAATTGCGGAAGCAGCTCATGCAAGAACTAATTTACTTTTAAGACAGTTTGATAAATGAATGTACATTCAAATTCAATCTACCTGCGCTGAAATTAAAAGAGGATAATTGCAAAGAACACTTGATGGAACAGGTCTTTTCTTATCAAATGACTGCCATTAAACAGCAAAGAGCCACAGCCAATTTCCTTGCCATTGAGGGCTAAGAGCGCCCTCTTGTGGCAACATCTTTAGACATCAAACAACAAACTTAAAACATCAAGTTAATAATATTGATTTTATTGCCATCCATATATACATATATCTTTTCTTCTCTTGTGATATTTATATAGCTTAAAGCATAAGGATAACGGTGTAAACAATGAACAGAGAACAATGAAAAAAGGTTAAGCTTTGACACCGTCACAATTTGTTGTCTTCTTACAAAACACACTTCTCCGGGCATGTCTTCTCTCTCGTCTACATGCCTGACCTTTGAGCAGCATAGTTTTGTAAATTTCATCTAAGTACAAAGAAAAGCAGCGAGTGTTAATCAAACCAGTGCCTAATCATAAAGTACAGGCAGCACAGTACATGTGTCCTCCACGATACTGCATCACATGATTAGAAGAAGATACACAGCACCAGGTAAACTACAGCTGATTATCTGCTGGGTTGTATGACTCTATGCTGGCTCTCTATGTGATACTACAGTATGTTAGTGGGGCTATGTGAAATGGATCTAAAGATACAACATGTAGTCCCCAAAAATAGGCCTGGGTTGCCATAGAGACACTGCCTGGGGTTAACCTTAACACAAAGAGAAACGGCACTGACGTGTTTATGAAACACAATAACACACTGAAAAGGTCCCGTGGATTGAGTTACTGTCTCATTTCAGGACAACTAAACATGTTACAAAGCAATTAAACACACAATCACTAAAGTCCTTGCATTGTCATATGGATGATTTTGTTGATCAGTAGATATTTACTATGTTTAAATGAGGCAAAAGCAGAGCAGAGGAGTCATGTGAGCAAGTCTAAATCACTTCCTAAAGGGTGTAAGGTTTTTTGATTGTAATGAACAGTAGGAGCAGCACATAGTATTGTTTGTGTGTAAATGATCCATCAGAGGTCTGATTTAAATGAGTTACAACACATTTTGACAGCTCTTCTTGTAATACACACACCAGAGAACAACCTCATTATACAAACATCAAAGCACACAGAGAGCAAAGTATCCTCCCAAGTCTTCATAAAAGTAGAAAATTAAAAACTCCGTTTGGATTAATGGAATGGATTAATGAACAACCAGCATCTATTTAACTGAAGTCTACACAAGCTAATTAAATGGTATCACTGAGGTGGCAGCAGTTAGATTCTTCTCCCCTCTCAACACAGGGAGATAATATACTGATAAAAGTATAATAAGTGGAGGGTGGCCTGGCTAACTAATTTTACTGCTGTGCCAGAGTTACATCCGCAGATGCTTGGACAGCACTTATACAGCACCACCTGCTGTGGACAAAGCATCCAGTGTGCTATGTGTCTGTTTAGAGCAAATTATGTCTCATTCAAATTATACAGTGTTTTTGGTAAAATCAAAAATACACAAAACTAATTTTGGAATTCAGTCATGGAAAAGTAGGTATGGGGCCCATTATAATGGCAGTGCATTTTCAAAATGAAATAATGAATGTATTATTTCAGGACAAGGTAAATCTGCCACATTTCATCTGAGCAGCAAAAAGGCAAATTAAACCTGTAGAGCTACAACAGTACTTTGGAATTATTAAAACAGGCACACAAAATAAAGTTTAACAAGCAACCATTAAAAAATCAAATGAGTTAAATTCATTAACCAACAAAGTCACACACTGATATCAAGGTGAATAACAACGATGTGTATTACCTCACTTGTTGAGGGAAGGAGGAAACAAGTGTGTTTCTTTTGGGGCTGTTACATGCATACATACACATATGCACACAAACACACACTGGTCATACCAAACATTAAGAAACTCGGTATAGTCACAGACACAGGCAAACGTTAGTGACTGACTGACTAACAACTTCACATGGAGGAAACTCCTCATACCTCCTTCTCCCGATGCGGAGATAATGATCATGATTCCCCTGGATGCTGACACAAAGTTAATTCACAAATGTTAAGTTACTGGAGTTAGATTGAATGGCCGACCCTTGATTTGCATCAGAGGGTATGCCATCCGTTCTCTTTCAAACCCCTCCCCTCCGTCTTTGAGGTCACTCGGTGCTCTCCTGGCCCAGCTCGACTTCCTCTTCGCCAAAAATGGCTTCTGGCACACCTCCCTCTCCCTGGAACAGCTCCTCCATCAGCTGCTCCCCAGCGCTGCCGGCCCGTGATGCCCACAGAGCAGCACCCTCCCGCAGGCCCAGTGAGCGCAGCAGCCGTGCATAGTCCAAAAACGCAGCCTCGATAAGTTTATGTGCAAATGCAGGTCAAGGAGAACTTAACACATTTCATGGGATATAATTAAGCCAATGAAAGCTGCTATCAGACAAAAACATTCTGTCGTTTCAGTTCACATTCTTGAGCTGTGAGTGCAGTGAAAACTGTAAAACAGGCAACAAACCTGCGAGACACATAATAATCAGAAATGTTTCCATAAAGGGCGCAAAGGGAGACTGAAAAGTCTAGTGTGTAAAGAATTATATGAATTATATGTGGTGATGTCTGCAGTCACCAGATCTCAGATTACCTTATAATGCAAATGCAAGATTATTTTAGTGGTCACTCAGACATTTATAAAATTTAGGACATCTCAATCAGTGACAGAAGACAAAATAAAAGAAACACTTCTCTGTATTGTGTGAAGTGTATTTACCATGTGTTCCAGTGCTCCACACTGTGCCATGTTTGTACTACTGCTCATAGTCAACAAATTTGCAAAGATTAGATGGTCACACATGCTTGCATTTGTGCTTGGGCTTGTTTCAGAAAAATAAAGCTCTTTATGTTGGTTTTTCCGTGAACGTCTCACCCATTTGTATTTCTAAAAAAGTACATGTTCGACAAAAAAACAACAAAAGCAGTTATTAAGTCTGAAAAACAGGCATTTTTACCGAGACACTGCTTGATATATAACATCACAAACAAATCCTCTGCTACGAGGGAAGCTGCTCTTGTGCATGCTTAGTCTGCTCTGTTTTGGTCTCCATAAATCAGAAATCACTTAGTGGCTACAAGCCAGTTCTGACCAATGAACAAGCCAAAGGGATGTCTTCAATTAATTATACGCACAATGATTTACAAATAATTTCTAGATGAAATATTGCTTTAGAGGACACCCATTTTGAATTATTTTTTAAAGTTTTTTTTTTTCCTAATGTCTTCTTGTGTTTTCCACTTCTATTATGCACTGCATTAATGTGACTGGCTGGTAGAACTGATTTATTCCATAGCTACAGTAAGTAGAGGACCATAAAGTTAATTTCTCCCTCTGTTGATGAGTCAACAAGATGATCTCCATTATGTCACAGTAACAGTGTGAGACCAAGTTGTTTCCTTTAAGTATAAAGTTGTAAAGACATTTACAACTAAGACCAAACATGCTGGTTTCATATTAGCTTTGTATCAGTGGTCAGGTGTAAGTCAATATGTTTAGGTTGTAAAAGTTCTCTTATGAGTCTGTGGTATAACGGAGCTCTGTGACAGGGGTGTGGTATTGGCTGATGGGAACATGAAATGTAGCTTGATGTACTCAGTGGAGCATCTAAATTGAGCTTCATTGTGACAAAAGCTCTGTGCTATTGGGTGCACGTCTGTAGCAGAGATAGATGGAGTTAGCTGCGGAGCTAACTCTGGTCATAAATTGCCCTCTGACTTTAGAAATGGGTTTTCAAAAAAGGATATTGGAAGAGTCATTGGCCTCCATCACACCATACTTCAGACAGGCTTCAATAAACAGGGCGGCGCGATCAAAGTGCCTCATACTGTCCAGGCGACGGACGAGAGGAAGAGAGGAGAGGCAGGAAGAGGTTGTGAGGGATATTGTCAGAAACCAGCATCATTCCTGGTCTGTCTGTGATTTGTCTGTGATTCTAAAGCATTCATCAACTCTGTCATCCTGATGCGTCTCTAATTCTCTGAGAGGTTTTTTGCTGTTGGAAGAAACTCGGAACACGAGCTGTCAAGGAGGACAGGTAGACCAACGGATTGATTCCGTTGTAAAAGATACGGAGTCAGACTATGCCATCCACTGTGAAGCGTCCTTAAAATGCACTCACGAAGAAAAGAAGAGGAACTAACTGAAAAGACTCAAGTGTTTACGATTGAGGATGAAAAGAAAGAGCAAAGGAAGAGGAAAGTCAAAGAAGACTGGATTTTTATATGCAGGTGTTTCTATGAATGGAATTAATACAGTAAACTACAGCGTTTGAGTTTCTCATTTTCAAGAACGCAGTCATAGATAATGCCAAACTATCGCACATCTAAACATGTACAACGGGCTTGTTCTTACCTGTGGAGCATCTCTCCCACTTTATAAAAGCAGCCAAGGGAAAGCAGCACCAGGATGGCTTTAGACTTCTGGTTGACCTGTGGGGAGCACAGATGTTCTGCCCATCGCTTCAGCACATCTGAGCTCTCTGCTGGGTTCAGACGCACCTGGAAACACACACAACATGCAAGGCACTCAAACTCCAGCTGCTTTAAAAGGTGCTTCTTACTAAATGTAATTCATCTATGCAATTACATTTTGTAAATCTTCTTACAATTAAATATTGGAAATATAAAAACTCAATCATACACATATGCTGCATGTACAACCTTTTCACTCCCATGCCCACACACCCACAAACTATCCAAACATTACACAGTATCTGATTTTTGCTGTTGATGGAAACCGTCACGCTGAGTTACCTTAGCCAGCCAGGCGGCTCGGTTCCACTCCCCATAGGTCTGCAAGTAGCGGCAAGCGTCGGCCGCCTTGTCAATCAAGCACAGCAGCTGCACTCCCTCTGACAAACAGCAAAACAGGAGAGTTTGTAACATGGAGAAATGATGGCTTGTGGTGGCTATCTCTGCTCAGACACCAATATTGTTATACTACTATAGGTTGGAGAGACATGTTTTTTTTTTTTTTTTCTTTGGATGAAAAACTGCTGCAACCTAAGATAAAACACATCATATTGAAAGAGTTAAAGGCCTATTGCTACTTGTACTCATTAAAATAAGAGTGGAGAAGGTTACTATCAGAACACTACCTGCTAGCTTGCCATTAGCGATCATGTTGGTGGCCACTAGTTTGATGGTGGACTGTGAGGGGCCTGAGGAGGTGATGGTGGTCACTAGGCAGGCCTTGAGTGAATCACAGTAGTAGCTTGTGTTGTCTGCGCTCGTCTCCAGTAGTAACTGCACTGCCCTGTCCGTCTGAGAGATGACAACAACAAAGAGATGACAATGTCATGACTGAGGTAGCAAAGAGAAACAAGGCATTTGCAGCTCAGTCAGGTAACCATGCAGTGAGCTGAACAGGACAGAAATGCATGGAGAAATTGTGTTGATTTTCCTTCTTTTCATCTGGTGAAGATAAAGGCTCAAGCTCACTTTGGGGTCAGCACAGGCTGGCCTCTGCCTGTCTGCCTACTGAAAGATTGCAACTCCAACACACAGCAACACAACACACTGATTGCAGCCTGTGATTAGAGGGAGAGTTGTGACATTGAAGGGGGAGAGAGGTGAATCCGGCCCCCACAGGCTGAGACGCAAGGGACGACAGAGACAGCACTTACCATCCATCTTGTTTCACTAGGCTCCAGAGTACTGCTATGACCTATTTACAATAATGACGATATGTTTATATGCACGGCCAAGGTGTGTGAAGGTGTTAATACATGTGTATGTCAGAGAGAGAAAGGTAGTATATAGTTTGAAAGCCTGAAAGTAAGAAAGATGGAGAAAGAATGCAAAAACTATCAAAAGGATGTTGCAGCTAAAAACAAAAACTATGTGTCTATTAATATATGTGTGTATATGGATATGTATTTATATGTAAGGTCATATAACTGTATGCCAACCACTGTGAGGTCAGCCATAAAAGACGTGTGATGAATTCCTAACTCATTTGAGAACATCTGAACAGGACATTCTTCTGTAACGTCATTGTTGCATTGCAACATTTATCTATAGCAGCCTTACACACGCAATTGTGTGGGCAGTATGGGTAGTGTAGTACTTACCTGACCCAGCAAGAGGAGCTGGTCGGCACATTTCTTTGTGTGTTCATAACTGGAGCGCTTCACCTCCTGCAGGTGAACTCGATCCAACTGGAACTTCTGTTGAGCAGTAAAGGTGGAGCCACAAGTTAGCTTACTCTTTTTTCATACAGCTTGAAAAGATGCATTTTGTGTGTGTGTATGTGTATGTGTGTGTGTGTGTGTGTGTGTGTGTGTGTGTGTGGGAGAGAGACAGCAATGGAATGAGTTAGTACACATACATTATACACTAAGGGCACGAATTGACTAATAATGAGCAAAAAAAAAAAAAAAAAAGGATAGAGGACATATTATAGAAATACAGAGTCCAGAGATGAAGAGTATAATTATAGTCTTTAAAATATTCAGGGGTTTTCACAGCCTTTCTGGTGCCAGAGCCTCCCATACTGACTCTCATTATTGGTGGCTTTTTCCCATTATTTCACTACAGAGTCCCTGATGGGAGATCAGGCTTTTTTCAGTGAGAAAATACTAAGCATGACACATAACAACAGCAATAGATACTTGAAAGTATGAGAGCCCATCAGTTTTAGAAGAGGAGGAAAATGATACAATAATAGAAGAAATAACAACATAGTTGAAAATGAATTACGCTGCATGTGTGTCTGTGTGTGTGAACGCTTGTGTATCTATATCTACCACAGACGCTTTACTTTTTTGGATTTTTTATGGTGATGAATTCTTCTGTGTGTAAGAGCTGTGGGCATAAATCCTTGCGGAGATACCAAATTAGTTTAGTAACTTCAGAGCTGTGTGCTCTGTATTGGAGTCTTGGATATTAGTAATTACAGTCAGGTTGCTGCCACTGAAGCTGTTTTATGACAACAGGAGACAAATGCAGCAGCAGACTGTCTGGCTAACTCTTTGAAAGTCCTAACTTTGTGATCACTGCATGGCCCCTCATTAACAGGGAGAAAAAACTTCCACAAAAAAAGAAAAGTGCATAATCCATAAAAAAAAAAAAAATGATGAGCCTATTTGAGTATATTCTACTGAGCCTCTAATAAGTGAAATTACTTTAAATTTGGATTTATCAAACCTTGATGCTAGCTAAAAGCTACTTGACATTTCTCGTTAACTGGGTAATCATGTTTCATCAAAAAAGGTACATGTTCTCTCCTTTGCTCTCTTGGGTTTATTGAAAAAACCCAGATCTACCAAAAACCAGTGAATGCTTGTCTTCACTTGCACAGTGGGCCAACTTTTTAATTACTATAGAACATTTTTTTTTTTTACAAACTATTCCTCTAAAGCAAATTCCACAGAAATATTTTCTGCAGCCTGGTCACAAAAACACTGTGCATCACAAATACTAAACAAAAAAAAGTCTTTTAACAAAAAAACCCTTGCATTCACCATGGCAACATTAAGGTGGATGTCTTTGTTCAGCGATGTCTTTGTTCAGCGATGTCGACCATCACAGTGATGAGGGCAGACAGAGCAGAGAAGTACCAATCAATGGGGATCTTCTGAAGAAACTTTTCTAACACTCTTCAGAGCAAAAGAGGTCGATAAGTAAACTTGAAAAACAAAAAACAAAAAGAGGTTTCGGGGTATCGTTTACAAGGTCCTTGGGTGCTGGTTCATCAGCAAGACGCACTGATCCGAGCAATGACATGGCATAAACAAGAGGGGGATTTTTTATTTAATTGAGCGTATCCCGGTGTGGGCCAAAATCATTGTAGGGAAATGTTGGGGGAATTAAATGTAGTGAGGGATGAAGCGTAAGATGGGTTTGACCTCAAAGGCTTAAAAGTGCAAGTTGCTTCCTTTAAAGAAGGGGGCTTAGTGAGACAACAGAGGAGATACAATGTTATTAATAGTGGAATATATGGTGTCACTGGGTTCATGTTGTTGCCACTGTGGATGACAAGGGACAGGCTGGTGGTGTTTGTATGTGCGTGGTCTGACTTGAGGGTGCTGAGTGTCTCTGGATGACTCTTGAGGGATTTTTTATTTTTTTTTTAATATTGTTGACTGTTTCAATCAGTGTTTGCCTCTATTGTCTCTGATTACCAAAGAGAGGAAATGGAACAAATCAGGCAAACGCTTTCTCCTCTTCTCTTGTTCTACTGACCTGGAAGTAAGAGCTTTCACACAAGACGTCGTGGCAGATGTCCAGGTGGTTGTGAGGGGATGTCTGGGTTCCTTCACTTTGAGCCTGCCCCTCTGCAGTGGACACACTTAGCTGACGAGCCTGGGCAAATGACTGGAGGTAGTGGGACGCCACTGTCCAGAAGTGAAGATCTGACTCATCCCCGAACAGCCTGCAGTTTACCACAACAAGACATCAGCTGGGCTCGGAGTAGATAATGTTCTCTCTGGAGTAGTTAGTCTAATTGTGCAGTCAGAATCAACATGCCAATCAGTTTTACAGGTAGCGTGCTCACTAATGACTGCTGTTCCTGCATCTTCAGTCCACACCTCGCTCTTTCAGCCCTCCACCCTGTCTCCACATCCTCCTGCTTTTTCCTCTGTGGTTTAACTCTCTCAGCCTTCTTTTAACATATCTGCACAGACACACGGCTGTTGCTAGGCTACATTGCCACCTTAACAATAGTAACTTGGGACGGCGGGATACAGAGACATGAGCATGAGCTCTCTGTGAGCAAAGCACCAGTCGCGAGTACCAAGAAGGGTCCAGGTACATCATGGCTTTGATAAAAGGATGCAGACTGGCTGCTCTAGATTTGTCAGATGCTTGAGGGAAATGAGAACTGGGGCAGAGATGAGATTGCTGAGTTGCTGACACAAGCTCTCATGTCATGCTTTTTAAGAGATAAAGAATCACGGCTGTACAGTTCCAGCAAAAACACGTCCTGTTTAATGGCAGATATCTTGACAGTCTTAAAACTAAATTGCTCAACAGCACATTTGGCTCATAATCTCGAATCATTATGCTCATTTTCCCCAATTACATTAAGTATTCTGAATTAGATTAAAATGTTGTATTTCTTTATTGATATTCCACAAATGTCTGCTGTGAAAACCTAAACGATGTTATGAAAGTATACAATTAAGCATATTTCTTTAGAGAAATCACTCCCACACCTTCTAATTATGTCTTGCTCGGCTGAATTATATCCAGATCAATCACTGAGCAACAACCAGCTTGACTACAAACCCAGTTCGGCTTTAGATCATTGTAACAAATAGAGCCACCATATTGCCTAGACTTACTGTATGTTCCGACAAACAGACGTTATCAGAAGCAAACATACTGAGTCAAAGACAAGTTTAACACGTCTTCTGTTAAGGCTTCAGAGCTTACTGTTACATTGGTGTATAGTGTATTACCCTGTGATGATAGAGAGAGTGCATGCACCAATGAAAGGTGTTTATGTCCCGAGTGAGTGTCATTCTGCTTCTAGGATAAAAGATTGTTTGTTACAGAAACTCTACTTTTGTTCAAACTCAGTAACCATCACTTCCATGTCAAGTCTTCAAGTCTTTGACATAGATGCACTGCCTGAATATTAACGGAAACAGTGGTGTTGTGGTACCCGTCAACCACCATGAACACAGTATAGTGTGTGCAGACAGCCAACAGTGGTAACTCCATGCCGAGTTGTAGCTCACCGTGAGACCAGGAGGCATCGCTGCAGCAGACTGAACTCCGGGTCCTGCAGCACACTCTTCATATCACTGGGGAGCCAATCAGAGACTGACAATCAGAACACGGTGAGAGCCAATTACACTTCTCAAACACAGCAGGCAAAGGGTGGCTGTTACAGGAGATTCCTCTTATCTGTCAGCCCATGGACTACATGCTCTTTGGGTCTGCTGTCTAAACACAAAGGACCCTGGGACTGCGACTGCAAGCCAAAAGTGCATAAACAAAAACTGATACAAGGTAAAAAGATGATGGCAAACACACATACTGTACATATATATACATACACCAATATCTGATCGTTGGCATTCACGTAATGACAATATTAAATACTCTAGTTTGAGCTACAGAGTGTAATTGCTTTTCCAAGACAAATCAACAGTGTAATAACTCACTTAGACAGAGAGTTGAGCTGCTCCTGGATTAGGCCTTTTATCTCGTCTTTCTCAGTGTAGTCTCTGAAACAGAGGGATCAAACAAAGTCAAATGGCTCCTCACATGTCTTCCTAAAATAAAAACCTGACCTGATATTAAATGTGAAGCTGAGAACCTGTTTGTTAAGAGAAGTCGATTTATGGTGTCAGGCAGTAATAGATAACTCTATTCAAACATTTATGCCGAGGTCAGGTAGCACCCTGCGAAAGCTGCTAATATAGCTGCCTGACTTACGATAAGGCAGCTGTGTGTGGTTAATAAAAGAAAGCAGTGCAACACTGAGAGCTCAGTTAAATGGGCCATACTTGCATTAAGCTATAGTTAAATACAGATGTAGCTGTCTGAAAACAAAAGGAATACTCTCCCTCTCTCAGGATGGCGTCTATTGGCTCCCAGGTTGACTTGTTTACAAAGGTGGTTATAAGGTGGGTATAAAACTTGAATGCTTGGATGGTTGCCATATGTTATGGTATAAGAGATTACATCAAGGCAAGTCTTATACCTTGATGATTGGAAATTCATTCAATATCTCAAGGATCATGATTATTGAGAATGATTCAGTCTTGTAAATCTGATGAATAAGCTTCCATTTCATATATTACTAACCGCAAAGACCTTTAGACCATTGCTGCTCACAATTAATTCTAGTTTTTAACTAAAAAATGAACTAAAAATCAGCCTCAAATCCAAAGTGAAACTGTAGTAAATAGGGATGACACTATCATGTTTTTACCAGACTAATATGTTTTAATACAAATGCACAATCAGTCTGAAAACAGGTCTACATTGAAATGAATGAAGCCAAACATTTTTAGATATGTAAGATATTAATTTTGCTAAAAACAATGATTTATTGAGTTTTGTATGACATACTGTATGTAGTGAGTCAGTCTGTAACTGTTGTTGAAGGGAAGTTAAACAGGAGATTGACAGCCTGCCTTCACCCTCAGGCTGAACTATGCACAGTAAACAAGTTCAAATGCAGTTTAACCTAAAGCAGCTCTGCTCACTCACCGATGCGCGCTGTGTGGGTATCAATAATTGAAAATACCAATGTGTTGCTCTGCTTACTTGGTCTAGCTTTAGGGATAGGGGCCAGGGTTCGGGTTTTATTTTCCTGCTGGTATAGCGAACTGACATGAGTTACAATAAACAAAGGATTGGAATTGGCTCAAGCTCTACATCACCAGAACAGCTCATTTAAAAATGCATTGGTCAGGATATACTGATCATGCAAACTCGCACAGAGCATCTCCAGCACCGAAAAGTCTAGTAACACCATGACGTTTCCTTTTAAAAATGCTTACAAACTTTTTTGTGTATACAGGGCAAGAAAAATGAAAGCTAAGTAATAATAATTTTCAACAAGGTCACAATTTTAATTACTGACTATTTCCTTTAGTGTGGAGTTGCATGTTTTTTGTGTTTGGGTTTCTCCCAGATGCTTCTGGGTTCTTCCCACAGTCCAAATGCAACCTATGGTGAGGCTGAAACTCAAGACTGGCCATAAGAGTGAATATGTAAATGTGGAGTAAATGTAAATATGGTTGGTAGCCCTACTCATGAAATCATAAATAGGATGATATTAGAGTGGAGAGCAGCTTACTCAGAGCTGAGACTTACACTTGAGTGACGTCCATGGTGAAGGTTCCTGACCAGGGCTGCAGTAAAAGGAATGCCTTGAGGGTGAGAGCAGCTCGGGGGACCAGCAGGTAAGGACACCACACTGGATCTGTGGATAAAAAGGAATATTACATCATGTATCATTATGTAATTTAAAAAAAAAAAGCCGATTATTTCTTCTGCATTAGGAAACCACTTGATCTAGCCCCCATTTCTCTCTCCTAAAACCTCTCCAAGTCCTTTCATTTTACAATTTTCCTCCATCCATTCCAGCTCACCAGTCAGGTCCTGTTCATCCATACGGTAGCTGGCGGACTTCATGGCCATCTCCAGCACTCGGATACAACCATCGTCGGAGGCCAGAACGACCTTGTCTGATGTGCACCAGTCAATGTCTAGGATGCGGTAGTTCACGTTGCGACCGATCCGCATGCTGCTGACCATTTGGACCTGAGAGAGAGAAGATCCAAGGTAGTTCAACTGAAACTGTCACCTACAATCTGCAAAGAGTCTAAAGAGATGATAACAAATGAGTCATTATTCAGCAAAATTCAAAGAGAGAAAAACACAATATGGGACAATTGCTGGATTAAAAAAAAAAAAACCTGTTGGATTAAAAACAGTGGCGTGCTACTGTAAACTAATTTACATTGAGTATAGCAGGACACAGAATGGAAGACTCGGTTGACCTGGTCACAAGGTGTTCTCCAAAACCTCTCTCTATCTGGCTTTTTATGTGGCTGTATGGTAGTCAGTGCAACCCAGCTGTCAGCAGAGCGCTGAAGCTTTTCAGAAATCTCTCCCGCACTTCCTCTCCTCCCTCTCTCTCCCGCTCAATAGCTGCTGCTCGTTTCGCTCTGCATCTTGATCCATCTGTTGTCGGGCTTTTATGACTGGGGACCGAAAACTGTGTCTTATCTCGGCTCCCCTCAAGAAAGAACACCCCTCCATCCAGACAATAGTGCTCCACTGGGACCGTCTCCCTCCACCGTGACTTCCACCTCACGCTGCTTATTACACCAGAGCATCTTTCTGCGTCCACATTCATCTGCTTTTCAATTTTTAACACTCACTGCTGCTGGGTAAGCTAACGAATATTGTGGAGTGGATAGATATAACAAATAAAAAAAAAAACTCCAGTCTATGACATTAGATGAAATGATGAACTGGAGTGCAAACTAGCCAGAAGGACTGTTAGATGAGGTGTAATTAAGACTGTGCAGAGAGAGGACTTTCTGGATGACTTTGGTAAACAAAGTTAAAGAGGGAGCGAGGATGCACACCGCTTACAGAAATCAGGATCATCCATCCTGCTATGATTTAGTTTATAAATGTCAGCAGAAAGCTTTTAAGACTTGTGTATGTGTACTTACATAGCACAACATAATGGTTCTTTAACAGCAACAGGACAATTAATACTATTAGTACAGCATTAGTTTGAGAGGACAGTAGTAAAATATACCCACCACAATATTGCAGTGCTTCAGTGATTACAGTCCTTTGGAAGCACATTAATTCTGCCGCAGTAAATCTGTAAAGCTGTAAACCACTACTATGAAGCTGCAGACCGCTGCAGCTTCTTTCCTTTTACTGGAGTTCTGCAGTGTGGTGTGGTGAGGTGTATGCTGGGAATTTAGAAAGTGTTACACCAAAACAATCAATGTATAAGCTGCTGAAAAATGTCACCGACAACCGGAAAAGAGCTAGTGTGAGAGAGCCTCACCTCTTTGGTGTCCCAGACCTCTGCTCCATCCGTGTACATGACCAGCAGCTTTTGGTTGCCCTTCCCCGGAGCGAAGCGAATTTTCTTCACCCAGCCACGATGTGTCGGTATTCCCCTGAAAACATCAACAGCACTGGTCATTTTGGAATAAATCCATTTCTTAAAAATGACATAACTTACAATACTGCACACATATTTTATAACAAATACATCAGCTTTATTTATTATCCAATGTATATATATTTTTTTTTTAAGGTTGATTTGAGATTAAAAATGGACAATAAGCACAGATTGATAATCAACCCATTGATATTCTGGTAAGGTTAATTATACAGTAATCCATCATAAATTGCATAAAATCTTAGCGTTTAGTTGTCACCTGGACAAACGTGCTTTAAGGTCCCAGAAGTTGAGATTGCCGTCCACATCTCCGAGCACCAGGGTGTCACCTTTCCAGGCAATGCAGGCGATACTGCCCATACTGCCCTGCAACACAGGAAGAGGAAAGATACTTTCTGAGAGAAGTTGTTTGAGGACAAAGACGGAAGATTTGTCCCTTGATAAAAGATCCCTAATCGAGTCAAGTATCTGAAAACTGCGACTGATATGGACCTACACATTCATTTAAAAGTTTTTAGAGCGTGTCTTCACTTTAAGCATCTCGCCTGTTTCATTTATCTGATTATTTTCAATTATTTTCAGACACAAAACTTTACTTAAAATTAGTGTTGACGAGCCATCTTGAAGTACTAAGATAATGTGCGACTCTTAAAAAGTCATATGAAGTCCATGATCATCCTCCATATAATATGATAATTAGAGAATAGAAGAATCAAGAAAAATTATGTGATGATGGTCATAAGCCACGTCTTTAATGCAGCCAACATGTGGGTACTCCCAACAGCATAAAAAAGCACTTATCTCTCTACTATAAAACATCATACACCCTAGCATTTAATGTTTGAGTGTGAATGAAAACAGGAAAATAAATTAAAATATATGTGGCAGCCGAGTGGTAAACAAGCATGACATCAGAGTTTCTGTAAGGCTGCGCCACAAGACAGAGTGCTGATGTGAAGTCATTAGGTGTCAGCTCACCTTCAGTGTGTGCACAGCAGATGATAGGACAAAACTTTTTAGGAGAGTTTGCGTCAGTTTCCTGACAGAGATATGAAGATCCTCTATCATCCTGAAAGGATTGTAAAACCTTTGGGGTATGCAAATCTTTGAGCAATGAATCTGCAGCCGTCACAAAGATAAGGCTTTAAAATCCCCAGGTAAACCTCCCGTGTCTGTCTGTGTGGTGCAAATACATGCAGGTAGTGAGAGAGGAAAACACAGGCTGCCACTGCTTGGAAATGGACTTGAAAAATTGATACTCTACAGTGGCATTATTTTAAAAATACTGCATGGAGCAAGATGTTTTTGCCCACCTCCAATAAAAAATACCATAAGATAAATGGTTGTTATAAGGTATGATGTTCTGCTGTTTTTATTGACAGAAGATGTAGGCGATCAACAACAAACAACAGAAGGTTGATCGCATGACTAATCTCGACACAATTACAAGGCATGACGAGATAATGAGTCAGCAAATGTTCCTGAAGCTAAAATCTTCCAATAGTCTCACCGAACAATAGCCTTCATTTTATGTTACTCTGGGGAAAATCGATGTGTGGTCAACGAAACAAATTTCTTTAATTAGCAAACAAATGGTTCTTTGTTAGTGGTGACGCATTGACTTGTAAAATAATGAAATGTTATGATATTACCACTGCATCTTGCAGTCATCTAGGGAAAAAGAAAACCTGTCCTCAGTAATAGCTCGCATCTATTTACCAGCCTGGTTGTCAAAGCAAATAAATGGCTAGGTTACCATAAGATGCTTTAAAGGTAAGTACAATAACAGTTTCTCTTTCCCTGAGCCTGAGTCACGCTCTGAACAAGTACAGAAAACATGAGCAAAACACTATCTGGGACAAACTGATGACACACTGATGAAAAACTCAAAATCACACACCTTCAGTTGGCTGTTTGTTCTCTTAAAGCAAAAATGTATCTGGCAAAAAAACAAAACTGTGGGATTTTAGCTGAAAAACCTTCACCTTGATTCCCTGTAGTTTATTACGGAGTGTGGCACATTAAGTTGGCTACTTTTTGCCAACACCTATATCATCTCCCACACAAGCCCCACAAAAACCTGAAGGACACAGGATATAGAGGGGGAGTAATGGATTTTACTAAAGAGAGGAGGAAATTGTGCAGATGCTGGTTACTAGCCAGACACCAGTGTTTCTTTTGAGCTCCAAAATGAAGAAAAATGAAGACACAATGCAGATGTTTGATCACAGAAAAAAAAAGCGAAGTGACTGATGTGAAACACTTTTTGTCATTCTCTTTGAAAGTGAAAAAAAAATAGTACATGTTGCAAAAAAACAAACAAAAAAAAGATTTAACCTTTAAACATTAGAGAGACAAAGCTGGAGAGACGCAAGAACAAAAACAGAACAAAAGACGACAGAAAAAAGAGGAAAAAAATAGGACAAAAAGTGATGGATGTGGTGTGTGAAGATGAAATATAGTATAAAAGGCAGTGTAAGTTACAATACTGACAGATAACAGACTGATACATACATTTATAGAGAAAGGAGAAAATATGAGGTAAAAATAGTGACAGCAGACATACTAACTGGTGTCCGCAGAAAGTAAACAGACAGATTTAGATCTTGTGTACAGAAAGGATTAACCACAAATTACACTGAACGGAGACAGAGGGATATGAAGCAGGTAGGAATAGGCTTGTGCAAGGATCAGTGTGGATGACCTTGAGGTAGTTCAGGAGAACATGAAGTAAAAAGAGACATAAGAAAGACACATAGTCTCTGGACTCACATCAGGGGGAATTCGTGCACCATCTTTGACTGTGTTGCCCTCCACGGTGATGTGGTAGACCTGCCCATCTGTGTCAGTGAATACAAAATGCTCCCTGGCTGATATGGCCTGGCTGGTCTCTGACTTGCTCTCTGCATCCTGCAGGAGACTGTTGTGGAGAAATCACAAAAACAGACAATTCCCTCAGATAAGTGCAGCATGTCCGTTTTTTTGACCACATTCCAGTCTGAAATATTTCAGCTGGAGATCTTGCTCTTCTGCTGCAGACAGTGGCACTGCCACTCCCATTTAGGCCAGTGATTCCCAACCAGGGAAAGTTGTTTACTTCAAATGTATGACCAAAAAAAAATCACATAATTTCAGTCTGATGTTAAAGGATTTTACTCATGAATGTCAGTCTGAGAAATATGTCACACTATTTCTTAGTGTTTTTCTATTGTGGCAAAAGGCCAAAGAACAAAACAATAAACAAAATTCTTAAGCTTTATGATGCTGACCTGATGACGGACGACTCAACACTGCTCTGCTCGGCGTCTGACACCGTCTGCCGAGCCATGGCCTCCCTCGCTGCCATTTGCTTCTTCTTTAGACTCTTCAGGTTGTGGGAAGGGGACCACTCCTGTTCTCACACACACACGCACACACACACACAAACACGCACACACAAACACGCACACGCACACAAACACAAACACAAACACAAACACAAACACAAACACAAACACACACACACACACACACACACACACACACACACACACACACACACAAGGTTGCAGTTACAGCAATCACAGCTAGGGCTGTTACAATATCAGATTTTCACTACACAACTATCATGACCAAAAGAATTCATGATGATGATATTATCGCGATAGCTACAAAAAATTCAAAAATAACTATGATCGTAATAATGGTATCTGTCAAATTCATATTTAACATTGTTTATTGTGTGATTTGTCTCATTTTGGCAAATGAACTAGTCTGAAATACAAGTATAGGGAGGTGGTGTGAGAGTCTTTAAACATAACTCTACAAAAGCCTACAAAAAGAACAATAACCAGATGAACTGATAAACAAAAAATCCACAAAACCTGCCATCCTGATATTATCATATGCGTATTACTAACACAGTATCAATACTTCATCTTTTAAATATCAAGGTTATCGTCAATACCAGTATATTGTGCCAAGACAGAGACAAGAGAAAAAGTAAGAGATTTGCATGGACAGTAGATGCTTCCATAATGAAACTAAGGCACACAGGAGAGCTCTTCTCCCAAGCCTGGCTGTCTAACTGCTGGAGCACAGTGGCTGCAATCTGGTTAACTCGAGGTGGTAATCAATATGGAAATGAGACAGCAATATGGGGCTGGGGGAGGCCGGCATGTATTATTAAGGTTACTGGCACTTTTATTTGCACTGTGGAGGATTTTACAGCCCCACTGTAAAGTTTGCACAGCATAACTCTCTTTTTATGAGCATTTCTCCAGCCTAATGAAGCCACTGTTCTTTGCTGAGCTTGGGGAAATTTTGCAGACTAATCCTTCAAATGGTCCACACAAACACAAAAGGGGAAGGGGTGAAAAAGTATAAGAGACTATTACCAAAGGGAAGAGTCAACAACACTGACATTGTGTTTTGTTGAAGTAAATATGTAAACTGGAGATGTTCAAATATGCAGCTGTGAATTTACATGAGCTCCCCTAAGTACCTACTGGAAAATGCCATTTCTCAATTTCTGCGCTGTACAGCACCTCAGAATTGAGCCTTGGTAAAGGACAAGGTTTTTATTAGTATGTAGATTTATCAGTACCAGTGCCGTAACGACGGGGAAGTTCTTAGCCATCTCTCGGAGAAGTGTCCCCGTCCTGATGTCCCATAGCTCCAGGGGTTTGTCTCTGAACACCACCACCAGATACTGTCTGGGGATGGACATCACAAACACACACATTCAGTCTCAAAATATAAACTGCCCACTACCCGACTTTAAGATTTTCTCATGGTTGCTATGTGGCTTGGGTGTCTAAACATTGGATGCTGAGTCTGGCACCTAGTCAGCAATGTGTCAGATTACCAGCACCAACAGTGACAGAATGAATTCATGTTCATCTGCTCATGTGTCAGGTGTTTTGTGTTTATGTAGTACAATAAGATTTTAGACTGACGAACGATTTTAACTTCCCACAAGAACCTAAATGCAACAAGGATGAGTTTTTGCAACCGTCCCTATCTCGTCCATTTTGTAGTACTTCTCTGTTTACACTGAGAAATAAAAAAAACAGCATGAACAGGCATTTTCTTGTACATTTAATCATATATTCAGACTTATGACGTGACGTTAAAAAAAGATGTCGTAAAAAATCTGGCCGAGATACAGGCTCCCCTTCTTAAAAAAGCTACTATACAATCGCTCAAGAGCAAATGCTGTTGTGAGGAACGACAGTGTTTAACAGTGCGAAAATACTGCAGCACTGGGCAGCTCCTCGATGAGATTCAGTGTATAAAAGCATGTTATCCTCTCGCTCCCTTCGACTACAGCCCCCAGGCCTTTGTTATTATCAGATTGTGATCTGTGGAAACCGCCTGGCTGAAATAAAAAAGACAATATAGATAAAAAAAATAGATTATGCACTGTCCAGTAATTTTTATTTTTCACCTCCTTTTACATTGTGATGAGGTATGTATTGTGTAGCATTTCAGCATTTCACATCTTACATCTTACTGTTTTACTTAACAAGACTACTTAACTAAGCACTGCATCATTTATCTGCAATTCTGAAGCAGCTTGTGTGTGACATCATATTATATAATATTTTCGAGGCCATGACTTGTGTACTGACTCTTATATTCATTGCCTCCAGAGCAGCCTACTCGTTTCACTCTGGAGGAGGGAGCACTTTCTGCTATACTACTTACTGCTATGCAGTAGAGCAGAAATGCAAATGCCAAATGTCACGTAATGTAGGCAGAAGAATCAGAGGTCACTGTCCAGCATAATACACTATTCACCTAATCATATTCTTGATGTATACACAAGGCTACGATTCTCCAGGGTGGCTTGGCATTGTCAAAATGTAGTGCCCTTGAAAAGAAAGCAGAATTTACTGTCAAGTAAATCAAGAGTGACTGAGTATACAAAGACAGCTGTTATCTGATAACTTTGTGTGTAGTTTCATTTCACAAAAAATGTGCGACGACTGTAAATGCATGGTCTTTAATTTTTTCTAAATATCACAGCCCCATTAAAGGGTGCAGCAATGACAAACGCTTGGATAGAAAAGTAATGATCCGACACACCGCACAGTCTGAATATGTGAAGGTTTTTGGGGACAGTAATAAATAAGCAACCCAATTAATGGTGGCTCTGTGGTTTTTCTTTAGCAGAGTTCCATTAGAATTCCAGTCTGGGTGTAGAATTCTTTCAGAAAAAAGCAAGAGCTCTCCAACCTTAAAAAACATTGTTTTAAATGTTCAGAGATGGATGGAGATAAGAGACAAAGGTGAGATGGCCCCAGGCAGGTAAGGTGAGACGTTCTGGATGGGTGCATATTTCATATGTAAATGTACAGTTGGTGGAAAAGTGTGTGTGTCTCAGTTAAAAGCATTAGAGATAGCGTGAGGCTGTTGGTATTTGGTTTTGTTGGTAGTGGGGAGAGCAGGCAACTCACTTGAGGTGGGATACTTTAATCATCTCAATGGGTGGCTCATCGTTTCCGCGCTCGCCTCTGAATGCAAAGCATCTGCCTGGAAAACACAACAGACACAGACAGAGAGAGAGAGAGAGTGAGTGAGGGTGGGGGGGGTGATGATAGAAGGCAGAAGATGGCATCTTTCCTTCTACTTGTGAAAAGACTGATTCATCTCATTTCACTTTAGTTCCGGGGCATCCTGATTTCATCTTTTTCACCACAGCAAACTGCCGACATCTTAATCTCACCACCTGCTCTGATCCCTGCTTTTCATTCGCAACTTTCCATCCACCAAAGTCGACATTATGCAGAGCGTCAAGGTGCCCGTTTAAACAAAACAAGAATACCCTTCAGGTGTATTGCATCATGTTTGCCCAGGGAAGTGCTGATCTAATTTTGCGGAGGACACTTACGAAGGTGGCCTGTCTAAACGAACAAACAACAGAGCAGCCTGTGGTGTTTTAGGGGAAGTGGGGTGTGAGGTGAGGTGAGGTGACCTCCAACAGTTTTTTTTGAGGTGGCAGCCGGTGTGTACCGGTGGGGCATAAAATAGAAAAGCATATGGTGTGGGGAAAACTTTGGAGACCTCACTAGAAGCTAATACAGCCCTTTTCTCCATTTCAACTTTCTTTTCTGTGTTTCCACTGTCATTCACAGTGGGAGGGGTTGTGTGCCCTGATTACAAAGTGCCAATTATGTTATCTAACTCTTCAGATCATCAGCATACAGGCTCTAATCATGTGTCAAATGTGCATTCATAAAAACACACACAAACACACACACATCTCAGGGTCTTGAATACAGTTCATGGTGCAGCAAATACAGCAGTAAATACACAAAGGGGTCAACATTTCTTGAACTGTGTTGTGTGGAAGGAAGAGTGTTTGCTTTCTCATTAACATGGCGATGTCAGAACTTCATGCTCTACACTTACTGTGGATTATTGAAAAGATACCTCAGAGGGTTGATGTCACCACTTATAATTATGTATGTATAAATAATGAGAAATTATCATCCGTGCACATAATACATATTTATATTCTATGTGAGGTTATGCAAACTGAGTTTACTACCATGTCTCGATACTCACTCATCCCAGTTATTGCAGCGCACAAAAAGATGCTTTAATAGATAAAGAATATGGCCATTAAGAATAGCTGCTATTACTGCTACAGAAACCAGGCATCACCACAACTGAGTAAGGCAAGCGAGGAAGATGATTTTGCATCCTAGATTCTCAAATGTTATCAGAAAATGCTCCAGCTGTAAGGGGCATAAGGTGTCTGCCTTAGTGGATTAGTCTTAGAGCTATCTTTTAGTGCAGAACTTTGGTGGTGTTCTATTTGAGGACTTGTTTATGCAAAAATATGCTTACTTTCCCTGAATAAATAAAACAAAGGAGCATAACCTCAAGTAACACAAACAAAACAGGGCAAATCTGCCTGCAGTCTTACTGAATTGGGTCCAGAATGTCAAGGTGTAATATAATTGTAATATTGGATTGTATTATTTGTCATTTAAACATCTAACATTAAAACATTCAAAGAAATATAAGATACTGTAAGACCTAATCGGTAACTCAAATAAGTATGATGAAAACTATATCGACCGATTGCCTCCGTAAAAAGCTTCAGCATTGCAGGCTTCTTAAATCACGATGTTTCATTTATTCATGTAGTAAAAGTTGTAACTACTAAATAAGACATCTTGGGAGTTGTTGAAAGGCCTTTTTTTTTGTCAGTTTTGATGGAGCCGTTTCCCTGGTCATCTTGGTGCTACGCTAGGCTAAACTCATCCCAGACGTACTGCATCTCTGCAGTGAACACACAGATTAGATTAATATTGATCTTTTCATCTAACTCTTGGTAAGACAGCAAAAAAAGAGCACATTTCCCAAAATGTTGTAACCCAAACTGCACACAGACATGTGCATGCATCAGAGATGTGAGCCATGACAGTCTATCTGCTCAATCAGCAGCTACATTTGCTGTCAAGGACCGCTCAGAGGATCTCAGTCACTTGAACTCATTTGAACTAGTAAGAAAAAAAACTATAAAGTAAAAGTGTGTTGGAAAGTGTGTGGGCCTGTAACCAAAGCTATTGCAGCAGACTGTTAACTTTGATGACTCTGGTGCTTCCAAGACAGTCATTAAAGAAATGACTTACCCTCACCATTGTCCTGACTTGGGAATAAAAGCTCTGTTACTGAATAATTATAGTGACCACATTTTCACTGACCAAATGGAAATTTTGAAAGCAAAACACATTAAGATTAAAATTTAGGAATTGGCTACACAAGACAAAACTCAAAAGCTGTGTGAAAAAGATACAAGTGCTCATCAATTACTTGTCTCCAAAATGGCAAATCTATTAATTCTCATTTACATAAACTAAAAAGGTTGTTTCCTTCCACTGAAACCTTTAACCATCTCTTCCTGATCCCAATCAAGTTACTTCACTTTTCAACTGTGCTCTCTCTCTCTTTGGCAGAAGAAATGTAGCGCAGTACATTTCCAACCCCTGGAGGAGATAGCAACGCTACACTGCTGGCGCAGTAATTCTATAGACCCATCAATGGACTCAGGCAAGGTGTAAGTCGCTCTGCAGGAACTCATGATAGGATCTCATTTTCAGAGCTAGACATCCCTTGGTGGTACCCTAACACTGTTTAGTTTGGACCTTAATTTGGAGGAGTGTGCAAGTGTCCCCTGGGGGAGAGCAAGAAAAATCTCTTAAAGAACCACATAGACACAAAAAGACAGATAACAAGAGAAAGTCAGAGAGAGACTGAAGTGTCTATTTTCTTTGTTGTTTTCGGCTGCAGGAACCCTGAGCAAAATATAAAAATCAAGAACAAAGTACTAGTGGGTAACCTCAGGTACAGGTGATGATATGTGTGTGTCTGTGTGTGTCTAAGCCTCTCACCAGTAGGCAGGTCGACATGCTGCAGTTCATTTCGCACCAGGCCCATGTTGTTGGGGGCGGAAGTGGCAAAAGACAGGAAACTGGTCAGACTCACCCATTCAATACCCCTGTGGAATAAGCAAAGACACGGGTTGTAGTTAAATGAATAATATTACTGATATTTGCAGTGTAGGTGTGAAATATTCTTCCACTACATCCTAGCAAGGTAAAGGGTACACCTAAAACTTCTCCTTTAGGAAAGTGTAAAAAGATGCATAGCAAATCAAGCCAGCAAATGTGAGATATGAGTATTTTTTAGAGGTGTGCACAGCTCAGGGAGCACAAACTCCACTTTAATGAGATGGTAAATAGCCACATGATTAATTAGTTCATTTCCCCACTAAATGTAAATGAGATGCTAAGTAGCCAGGCCTCCATTGGCATGGCTGTGCTCGGGCAAGGGCTGTCAGGCTCATTTCCATAAGCACTTCTGCTCTTCCCACCACACGCAACACACAGCTTAATGTTGTACGTCATTACACTGGAAATAAGGGCAGTGCTCTACATGTGTCTGCACAGGGAGACAGAGAATCTAATGGGGGTGAAAGCCATGATCTGATGGCTACTACTTAGATATGGTTTAGTGTTTTCATGTATGGCTGTGTAGTTCATTTATTTTAAAATTGTTTGTTCTTTTTGTGTTTAATACACCAAAGCAGTGTCCAACACCAAACAACTAAGCAGCCTGCAAGAGCTTGCATGCGTTATAAATATATATGCCCTGTGTGAACACAAGGTACAATAGTATTGAGTGAGAGATGTCAAGCAGATGAGGAGACAGCTGTTGTGTGTCATGACTGTAGAGCAAATCCACAGAGACACCACACACCAGACAGAGAAATCCATTGCCTATTCACACATACACACACAAGCATAGGCAGAGGTAGCTCCAGAAATTTCAAATAACATATGCTTGTGATGCATAGCTCATTAAAGTTTGTTGAAGTTTTGCATTTGTGCATACCAACGTCTCTCATTAATGAAATCCTGTTTGAACGAATGGTGTTTGCTCCCAATCATTCTCTTAACAACATTAATTGATTTAATCTCGTGCTTAAATAATCCTGGTGAAATAGTTTTGCTGCTCATTAGAGAATACTAACTAATGAAGCGCAGCCTGATGATGTCTGGCTGTTGCATTGTGGGTCGCTCAGAAGGCGGTGCGGCGTTCTGATTTTATTCCGTGTCAGTGTGGCCCTGCTCACGCACTGTAATTAACCAGTACACTGAGCAGCAGCACAGCAAGACAGAGAGGTTCTCATGCACAAAAAAACTGCACTGAAACAAAGATAGATTTAAGTCACTGCGCATCACTGTAATTTTCAATTTATCATTTAAGTGGAACCGTTTTGTCCTAATTAGAACACAACCACTTTCTTGATATTCATTTTGTAAACCAAGCAAGCTTCTAAATATGCTGAAATACTGAATGGCATTTTTTAATAAATATGCAAGTCGATATGTGATCGCAAAGTTCAGAAAACAAATTAATTGGATTTCATTGGGTTTTTAATAAGACAAAAACCCAATTAAAAAAACTGGCAGCTTTTTTTTTTTTTTTTTTTTTTTTTACTTTTTCTGAGCGCACATATTGATATAGGACACTACAGACAATGCACTGTTATCCCTGTGGTAACACCTCCTTTTATCATCCTGGAGAAGAAGGATATTCTTCTCACAGTCACAATTGCTGTTTCCAACTAACATTAAAGCAAGCAAGAGAAACAAATACTTAAAAATTTATAGCCAAATGAGCGTTGGGTGTTTATTCAGAAGGTCATGGCATTGAGGTATTCATGATGCACTACACTGGGTATCGAGCACATGATGATGATTTCATAACTAACTAGCTTTTAACTGTGTTGGTGGTCTTGCTACTGAACTGTTCAATATTGATCCGCTACTCTTGTTTTTAGTTTTCATTTTCCTGGTTCAAATGCTTGGTCACAGGGGGAGGAAGCTTCCCAATATAGAACACTGCTCTTCCCTGAATGGCCCATTTGATGTACGATTGAGAGGTTCATTAATTAGCTCCTTAGACTTGATGCAATAGTCTAGTGTTCAGAGGTAAAAGCAACATTACAGGAGAAGCCTGAATATTTGGCTTGATTTCCACCATACAAAAAAAAAAAGAAAAAAAAAGTAATTTATTTCAAGTGAGAATGGAGGATGATATTTATATGCAGCATGCTTTTCACTGAGAAATCAATAGACCTTCCCCCCAGCAGACATTATGACTTGTCATACCAGGGAAAACGCGGGTGTAACTAATAACGTTAATGATGGCTGTGTTCTGCTTAGGTTTTCCAGTGAGCTTCATTGCACAATACCAGAGCCTGACAGTAATGTTATTAGTAACACCTGCATTTGACAAGTCAAAATGTATACTGAGAAAGCTGGATACGCTATAAACTGGGCTTGGTAAACAAGATCAAGAAGTTCTGTTATTGTTCATTTGTGGAGATCAGTAACAGGTGATTTCTTCCAAATAAACTGTGAATTGGCAGTGATAGTACTGTATGTGTGTTACTGTTAACTGGGCAAATACAACAGTGTTACATCAGCAGCTTCGGCTAGATAAGTAAAATTGGGCATCACTGATCTAACACACCGTTTTCTTCTCTCCATCCCCAAACACATACATATATACAGAGTAAAATGTAGGTCTTATAATACCCTTTATTGGGTTGTTGTGATGAATTGATTTGTACGGTACCCAAAGCTGGTCCCTTTTTTCAAGTGCATCTACGCCTCCTCTGCATTCACCCACACTTCAGGAAACAAACTCAACATTCAGTCACTTGTCGGGATAAACGTACCAAGGCAGCTCTGCAGTATTTTCGTCAGCTCCTCGAAACTGTGTAGTTAAATAGGCTCTGGCCTGATCACATAGCATATGGTGCCAGGAGTTTTCTGTTATTGTCACAACTATACATCACAGACCACCACTGAGCAACATGAAGCATTTTTATTTGTGGCCTTCAGGATTTAATTTGCATATAAAAGCAATACTAGTACTACCTTGCCGTTCTAAATCTAGATCGTGCACACTATATATTTGACCACTATCACCATATCTGTTTGGATGTTTCTCATTTTACTCTTGTATTATTACTTGAGTCAAGAGTAAGACACTTAGCTGAAGCCCCTTGAGAAGACATCCAGATAAAAGGTCTATAAAGCAAGCTAGGGAATTATTTCTTTTAAACACACAAGAGCTGACATGGCACTCTAATTATGTAATCGCTGATTGCCTTCACAAACTCTAATGAGCCTAAAACCAATCAAGAGAAAATCAAGCCGCCTCAAGCTGACGGACTTGCCACTGGGATTCTTCTAAAATGTCATTTTACAGATATTTCACCTTAACACCACCACTTCACTGGTGCATTAAACACATTTAACTACACAGACACAACTGTACAGCCAAAAACATGTTTTGTGAGGTTACGGTGACCTTGACTTTCGATGTTTGACCACCAAATTCTAATCAGTTTATCCTTGCGTCCAAGTGAACTTTTCTACCCAATTTGAAGAAATTCCCACAAGGCGTTTCTGTCGTGTTCAGAAGAATGGGACGGACAGACAGACAGACGGATGGATGGACAGGCAGACAAGCCAAACCAATAATGCCTCTGGCCATGGCTATCGCCGGTGCGGAGGCATAAAAATCTTACCTGACTTCACAGGAGTGGACACTGAGTTCTTTGTGGAGAAGACCACTGGTCAAGTTGTAGACCAGTACCGACCCATTACTGGTGCCTGGGAAGAAGAGAGAGAGACAGTAGAGGATGAGGAATATGATGCAGACTGACACAGACAGAGGTCACAAGTCATACAGATACTGATCTTAGCAGCGTCTAGCCCGCAGCAGGATCAGAGAGATGGCGTGTCAGTGTGACAACCCTGTGTGTTCCCTGTCACCGCAGTAGGTGTGGATAGAGGCAGCACATCAAACCCTGTCACCAAGCTCACAGCCTGGGAACATTGCACCGTTTCATCTGCTGCTGGCAAAATAGCACAACAGCTCTATCCCTCCCCAAACTCTACCCGATTAAATACTGCAGGTGACATTTGATACTCTGATCAGAAACACAGAGGATGTTTGACAAAGTGATGGTTTTTTTTTTCTCCACATTTGTTCATACTGTAACAGAGAAAATCAAACCAAAATCTACTTCAAGGCTATAATTGATGTGTACTTATCTGGGGAAAGTTTCCAACTAGAAAACTTAAAATTAACAAACTCAATTTATAACTTGTTTAGCATTTGGAGGGAAAGTTTATGTTTTGTTGTTTTTTTTTTTTGTTTTTTTTAGTAATTGCCTGGTTCAGATTCAGTCAAAACAAATTCATATGAAATGTGGAATGATTTAGCATCTTGTGGAGATTTGAACATGTGACATTTTAGCTCCTCTTCTTGAGATTTTAAGAGCCCATTTTCAAAGAATATGCAATAAAAGTCCTAATCTACACTGACATCATATTTACTCTGTGGAAACTTTCCTTTAATGATGATATCAGTGTTTTTTATGGTTTTATAGAATTCCATATTTTATTAATGGGAAAAACAAGCAGCTGTAAAAAGCAAAAAACAGTTGAGGTTACAACCTAAGCAACGAAGCTGAAAGACAGCAATTGAAAATAATTACTCAGGAGTGAGGTGAAAAAAACTCTGCAGCAGATGTGAAAGCAAATCAAAAGTCCATTTCCATGATGTTTGGAAAGTGTTTAACAAGGTTTAGGGGATTTCTTTTTATTTCTGCGATGAACACAGGCAGGTGCAGAAGCCCTTCCAATTCTATAATTATCATGAGCGTGATGGAACTGGGCTGATGTGCCCAGTCCCTCTGCAAAGGACTGCTCAGTCTGCACTGGGCCACAGCATGACGACCACATGCTGACACAACATCTGGAGGTGGTGATAGGCAGTGCCACATGGGCATCTGTGTGTCTGTGTGTGTGTCCTCCCCTTCTGCTCCCTGTATAGCTGATAGATGGCGTGCAGTGTGGGACTGTAGGAGGTTTCAGCAAGAAGTTGGGCAAACAGAAAGTGGTTTTTGGAGAGTTGCCTCTCAACGTTTGCTGTGAAGATTATCAAGAAGATAATGTCCATTTACATGGCCTTTAAGTTGAGGTGAGGGTGAGAGAGGTTTCATTGTGATTCTGGGACAGATATTTGAAATATGACAGAGAATAGAAAACTGACTCTTTACCCACAACACTGTAGAATGTAAGAATCTATTGCCCATCAGCAGACACACCAATCAAAAAGATGCCATTTATGGCGTAAGTAGCCATAGTGATGCTCCTCAGTATTTGACAGTTGTTCAGTTGTTCCAAACAGTGCTCGGTCACTTTGATGCTCATTCATCTAGGCTTGAGGCACTTTTTCCATTTTGAGTTACCCAAACATTTTTGATAACAAATGAGGTTCTGCAACTCTTCTTTCTTACTCTTACTTGCCAAAGGTTTGAAGAAGATTGAAGATGAAGACTGATTCCCCTCAAACTGGGGTTAGGGTTAGTGCGGCTCTCTCCAAAAATAGCCAAATCTGCCGAAATATAAAAAATGTAAGTGTAAAAACATCAAGTTGTCTTTTTACAAGGGGTTGTGGACTCTTTCATGACCCGGCACAGTGAAGTTTCTGCTGGTTGTCTGGCAAATTCACTGTAACAGCTAAACTGAAGTAAGCCACTGCTCCAGTGCAAAAAAAAATATTAGTGAGCCAAAAAGGTGCTGGAAGGCAAATTTTATTACCTTTGGACCGAGCCAAGCTAGCTGTTTCCTGCTGTTTTTTATGCTAAGCTAAGCTAACCAGCTGCTGGCTTCATATTTACTGTACAGACATGTCAGTGTCATCTAACTCTTTGCAAGTACTAATCCTTTAATTTAGGCCAATGCCAGCAACACACTTCAGCAAATATGTTTGAAACTGAATCATGGCTAATCTATATATATAGTTATGGTTCATCTCTGCTTCTTCATAATACACTGAGGAAATGATTTGGTTTTCTCAATCATTTCGCAAAATTTGACAACGCGCAACAGGTGCTGCACACCTGGCGAGGAACTATGGGTTTGTACATCTGTAGTAATTGTTTAATAATAATAAAGCACATACAATTCTACAACAGATTACATAATTATTTGCTTGTTTCTGTAACATGCAGATCCCATCTCATTTCCCCAATTGAATGACTCACTTAATGAATCCCTTTAGAGTAGCATAAAATTCTTCTCCACATGATAGGAATCTTTATTTTGCACCATTTGTTGGATTAAAATTCAATTTGATACTAACCTAACAACTAATAGGTTTCAACACCAGGCTCAGGTGATGACAGAGCTGGACAATCCTTAGTTGAACCCAACTCCACATGTAAGTGTGAGTTGGCAGAAGATAATGTGTACCCTAGACTGGAGGCTTTGAATAGATTCTTTTGTTGGCTGCAAATGTAATTGATATTCCCGTTGACAGACCACTGGATCTGAGAACGAGAAGCAGTCCATCTTATAATTGTTTTGCTTTTTGAGGTGCATGCTTCAGTAGTGGCCTTTAAATCAGTTCCCATATTTTGCAATTCTACTCTTAATGCTGTTTCATTTTGCAGATCCAAACAATGCAGAAAAGAATTGCTGTTGGGCAAAGAATGAATAACTAAATTAGGCATGCCGCCATCAGATGATTAAGAATGGATGTTGGTGTGTCAGTGTTTGAGTACATGTCCCTGAAAAGCAAAAGGCTCTGGGTCTTGTACCTATCAGTAATGGAGCTGTCAAGTCCAAAAGATTACAGCTTTTTAGATAGGAGACCTGACAATGGTGCTTCCGGGTAGCTAGGTTGGCTAAACAGCTTCTGTAACCTCCTTGTCGGAGGTAAAGAGCAAGAAAGACTGACAGTAGCGAAAAATGGAAGACAAAAATTGAGAAAACCGACATGGGAATTTCTGCCTCCTGTCTAACTGTAATGAGGCTGTGGATGGCAATTTCAACCCCGAGTACTTTCACAGCATCAGCAGAGAGCTCATCTCTTTCTTTATTTTCACATAGTGGAAGGTGTAAAAACTTGGTTTCCCTTGGCTGTGCCTGACTGGTGTTGCATCACCAGGAGTCAACGAGTCTCCATTCTAACTCAGCTGCACATTAGATAGAAACCTCATGTAGACTTAAACAGAGGCCAAGACAGAGACTGAGTTGTAACTGTCATGGACTCATCCATGGATCACTCTGGATTTACTGATTAGGTGTATTCTCTGGGTCTTGGTAAACAGGAAAGGTGACAGATGCCAACGCCTGCCAGAACACCTGTCACAGCACCAACCTAAGCATCATTACTGAGGAGGTGACAATTGCAATTGTAACCCAGGAATGTATTCAGTTTCTAAAGCATGAGAGTGAGGCGAAGTACCAAGACTCCAAATACGGCAATTTCTAATGTGATTATAACTCCTACCTTTTTATGATAGCATATTCTTAACTGTGTTTGTATAAATAATAGCCTCAAGGTACCGTTTTAATTAAATATACTTCAGCTTTTGAATTGCCTGGACATACCCTTCACTTTTCAGCAGAGATTGCAATCTCCATCTAAATCTCCACTGTAGTTATTCAGTCCCCCAAACTTACGATTCACAGGCCAACTCACAGGGAGTGGAATAAAAGGCACATTTCAATAATGTAGCTAGAGACTGTTTAACTACTTGACTCTGCAAGATGACTATGGGGACTTGACAAATGATGTGCAAAGAAAACTCAATCGCCCTGTTCCAGTTTTAGATTCAGAAGGCCACTGGGAACAGCTGTGCCAAGTCAACCCCACACCATCTGCGACATGATGTGCTCCTACTGCACCCACTCCAAACTCACACACAGATTCGGAAACACAATGCCACATCCCTGACTGAAAAGGGTTTTTGAAATGGCTGCTTTTGAGAGTATAGTGGCTGTTTTTTTATTTTTTTTTAGGTAGAGATGCCCTTTTATTTTTGACATAACACATTTGAGACAAACCTGTAAATAACAGGTGGAGAAGAGCAGTGGTCATCTCTTAAGGCCCTTTAGAACTATTGCAGTTATTAACGTGCAGCAAATTTAAGAGATGTATGTGTTCCACCACACTGGACTTGATGCACATATCAGAGATGAAGACTCCCAGTGAAAATGGTTCTAAATGTGTACGTTGAAGGCGTTATTATTTATCTGCTTGTCTGTAGCTCTAAGGGAGGCAATGTATCTCTAAAGGTATGATTAATTTATATGGGCTATGACAGGGGACTGAGCGCAGCCTATTTATCAGCTTGACAACTAAAGTGAAGGTTTGCTGTGTTGGGGAGAGGACAGCTGTATGCCTGGACCTTAGATGCTTAAATGGAATTTGGTGCACCGGCAAGTACGTGTGCGCACACATAGACATACACGCATACAAACACATGCACACATAAAGCAACAGACGGAAAGACAGACAAAAACAGAGGCACATTACATACGCGATTCTGCTCTTAATTTTCCATTCAAATTGAAGCTTGCATAATTTTATGCATCATTACTGTGGGGGAAGATAAGGGAACAGCGTCTGAACAACATTGCTATGCTGATATAAAACAAATAAATCCAAACTTTCACTGCCTCTCTCTCTCTCTCTCTTGCCTCGCAGCTGTCTTGGGGGAGTAATAGCAGAGGCTATTTGATATTTCAGTCTATCCCTTTTGCATCATTTGCTGAGACCGCACAGTCAGATTTGATGGACTGCTACTCTCTCACTTTTGGCCTCAAAAAGTCAAATTCACAGCAATGATTTGTATAACCCTACAGTTAGCATTTCATAAACTCAAAGATGAGAATTTGAAATATGTCAAGGGGGTTCAACAAAAGTATCAGTAAGTTTTAGAACACTTTGTAATGCCAACTTGCATAGTTATCACTAATTGGATGGCAAAGAGCATAATAAAAGTCAACATTTAAAGTCAAATTTAAATTGACATCTACTTTGAGTAACACTGGGAATCGCTGGCCTGGAGGTTGTGAATAGATTCTTTTACTCTGACAAGCCCCTTAGGCAGAGCATAATAATGACTATATCTGATAATTGTGCTGCTTTTCTGAGGTAAAGCCCTGCTTGACTCAGTGTTTGCCTTCATATCAGTAGCTGTTAATTTCCTGTTTTGTGATGAACTGACGTTTGAGGTCTTGCTCTGCTATTCATTTCCAGTGTTTAATAAGTCTTATTTTTCAAACACAAACCACAGACACACATTGACAAAGGACCTGGACGTGCAAGCGATTAAATTGTGTAGCTGCAGCTGCATAATCATTCAGCCCTTTGCCCTCCAAAGCACTCGGCACTCGCTGGGGTGTTTTGCGCTCTCATCACTCGGCTGCAACAATTCATAAATCAGACCAGACAAGCTTTTTCTTCTCAATGTCCAAATCTGTCGTAGTTACAGATGATGGCATGATGAATGACAACCCCTGAGTACATTTAATTCAGAGGGAAATATTATTCTTTTGACTCCACTACATTGTAATATCTAACACTTTAAAAAGGAGGGTACTCTGCATGAGTACTTTGTTTTGCTAACAGCACTTCTTATTTAAGTAAAAGTTTGAAGAGAGGACTTTCACTTCATTACTAAGGGTAAAGAATTTGAATTCCTTGACCATTCAAGTTACAGAGGTGTAGTATAAAGGAGCCTAAACTCAAGTTCACTAGTCCTTTTAGAAGGGAAATGAAAGGACCAAGGCAAGACCTCTGGAAAGCGTTGGTAAGATGGGGTTCATGTAAACAGTGACAGAGAAATAAGCCTTGCTGCTCCGGAACACAACATTGATTTTTGTCTGTGAAAACTAAGGTGAAAGGTCCAGGCTGGACTTGTGTCCTTTCAGGTAGAATATTACACTAGGTGTGATGTGGAGATCATGCAGTTAAAAGTAGAGGACTCTCCTAGTACATGAGTTAAGATTTGTTTTTGTTTTTCCAATTAAGAGGTTACATTTGCCAAATCAGAAATCTATCTATTCCAATCACTGTTTCACTGCTGCTATGATACTTTGACATTGACAAAGTTAATGCTTTGACTGTCACAGTCTTGGAAAACATTCTACTAAACACAGGTAAATATTTCATGCATGCAATGTGAGATTAGTGTCTTATTACTGGGTAGGACCTCACTTTGTTGGAAACAATCCTTTGAGATTCTGGTCCATGCTGACATGATTGTATCCCATCATTTCTGCAGATTTGTCAGCTGCACATTCATGCTGCCAATCCCCGATTCTACCACATCCCAAAGGTGTTCTATTGGATTCAGATCTGGTGCTGGGGAGGCCACTGAAGTTCACTGAACTAAATGTAATTTTCATGAAACCAGTTTGAGACGACTTTTGCTCTGTTACATGGTGCATTATCATGCTGGAAGAACCCATATGGATACGGTAAATTGTGGCCATAAAGGAGTCCACATGGTCAGCAGCAATACTCAGATAGGCTGTGGCAATCAAAAATTGATTGATTGGTATTAAGGGGCAAAGTGTGGCAAGAAAACATTCCCCTACCAATTACACCGCCACCAGCAGCCTAGACTATTGACACAAGGCAGTTTGGATCCACGGAGTCATGCTGTTGAGGCCATATTCGAAAACCCCACCATCTGTGTGGCTTAGCCGAAATCCAGATTCATCAGACCAGGCTACATTTTTCCAGTTTTAAATGTGTTATTCATTCTGAGATGCTTCTCTGCTCACCACAGTTGTAAAGAGTTGTTATCTTACGGAATATGTTACTGTAGCCTTTCTGTCAGCACCAACCAGTCTTGCCATTCTTCTCTAACCTCTCTCATCAACAAGGCGTTTCTGTCCAAGGAACTGCTGCTCATTGTGAGCAATGGTTGTATTCTCCGAGCTGTCTGCAGAAGTTGACTTCATGCAATGTCCATGGCCTTGCTTTTTAAAGAGTTTGTGTGTGTGTGTGTGTGTGTGTGTGTGTGTGTGTGTGTGTGTGTGTGTGTGTGTGTGTGTGTGTGTGTGTGTGTGTGTGCCTGAGTAAGCATAAGACAGTTTATGACAACTTTTAAAAACCATGTTATTTCTTAACAGCTACTTGTTTCATACAGTTCAGAAATTTGTTCTAAACTCTGTTGCTACACGCATGTTTCTAAATTGTGGATACACCAATGAATCCTCATACAGAGTGACTGAGTGAAACTCTTGCAACACTGGTCACAGACGTAAGGCTTTTTCTCCAGTGTGGATACACTGATGAACCCTCAAATGGTAGGACCCCCTTTGTGTGATTTAAGTTTTATTGACAATGCACTTCTTTAAACAAAGACCATCAACTCCAAATAAAACAGCTGAAGAAAGCTTGTTTTCTTCCTACCGTTTACGTGTGATTGAAGTACCAATTTTTGCAGGTTCAAGGCTGCCTTCATGTAGGTCAGAGGCAGAAAGGTTTGACAGATGCACTGATGGTTTCCATGGTAACCAGGGCCAATTTCAATTCAAAAGGTTCCAATTCCAAAAGCTTTGTAAAATAACCCTTGTAAAATCACAAAGCATTCCATGCCCCAAATATCTGATATTAGACACCTGACAGTTTCACAAAACTGCGCTCTGAGCAATAAACTAATAAAAAAATCTGTTATTATGGGAATTGGTCACTTTATTCAGCTGAGTGAATAAATGCATTATTCCAATTAACTAAAGATTAACGTGATTACCATAAGCATGGTAATGTTGAAGGATTCCACAATAGTGTGCTGTCATGTTAATATTAGCATCATCTTAGTGCCTACTGGCTGACTACCAGTTGGGCAAAGAGAGCTTTTTCACCCCTCAGTGGGCTGAGACCCAACTAAAACCTCACCTCATCATATCAACCGGGGCCGGATCAAATGTCAGTTGTAATTGTCTGGACCTGCAGACAAATCTATAATCTAAATCAGCACCAAACAGTATTTATGAAGCATTTACTTATGTTCAGTAAAACTATTTGTTGACATGACTGTGACAGAGAAAAGCAAAAACACAAAAACAGTTCATCCATCATTGGTTTTGTCTTTGAGGGCCAGCACTGATGCAACTGGTTATTATCTGAAACAGCAACCAGTCATGATGAAACAAAACAACATACTGAATACAAGTGCAAACATTACTGTCAGATTTTTGGAAAACACAGAAACTACACTTAAAAGCATACCTTGTGCTGGACTTTGAGAAGTGCTGATGTATGATAACAATGCTGACACATTATGAGCTCTGTACAGTGGAATATATTTCAGAATACTACCCAGTACGTTCTCGTGGTACAGATCACAGCTTTCACAGCTCTTATTACCTACCTACAGCCAGCAGGGGTTGGTAGTGGTTGATGTTTTTGGTGGTAAGTGGCGGGCACATGCGAATGGCAAATGGTGGCAGCGGTAGACCAGACAGAAGGCCAGTCAGCAGGAACTTCAACTGGACCTCTTGCTGGTTGGATGATGGAGGAGGAGCCTCACCAGCTATCAAGGTCTGGCCTGGAGATGAAACCACAGCATGGACAGGTTTAAGGTGGGCGATATCAAAAACACTACCTTTCAGCTGCAACTCCATTGATGGAACAATTAAAAATGTCAAACAACAGTGAATATAGCATCTGTGAGATTGGTAGAAGAACAGGACGGATTTCCCTTTCCCTTTGTTGTAACTTGCAGAAAAAGAGTGAGGGCTGCTTTTTACTGCATCTTAACCCAGCGCATACAATCTTCAATAAATCAATATTACAACTTACATCACAGTTTATGTGATTGGATCTCTAAGCTGGCGTGTCTGATTAGGTTTTGGCCCCTGATCCAAGTCCTTTAATATCGTGTGTGTTGATATAACTGTGTCCAATTGAATATTTAAGCTCACATTAAAATTAGTCAAGCTGATCCAGTTTAGATGATATGTCTGGCAATATTAAGAAAAGGCTGTCTGTGTCACAACTCCATTTTAATGATTCCCTAGAACTTTTTCTACAATATTCTACAGTATTTTGCATGAAATCTGTGGAGAGAGTAGTTTCAGCCTGGAGAGGATTCAGACAGCTACTCTGACGTAACCATCCGTAACAATACTTCATTAAAATCGCTTTCTGCAGTTTATTTGTTCATGCCAATTCATAGTTCACTTGTTTGCAAAAATGTGTTTTATATATAATGCAGGTTACACTATTTAAATGGAGCACAAGAAAACAACAGGCATACACGGAGCACTATGTGTTGCACTGAACAAAGACATCAGACAAAACTAAACACAAACCCCAGAAACAAAAATTAAGACACAAACAAACTACCACCTGCAGCTGAAGAACTGACATTAACATCATGAACTATTGAACAGCATCACAAAGTAGCTCCTGCTACAACTCCAGATGAGGCTGCATATACATGAGACAGACATGGTGTCCTAATTCCGTGCAGGTGTGACTCATCCTACATCAAGTGCTGCGGCACAGTGTCATTTGTACCCTGACAAAGGCATAAGCTGAAACATGTTGGAATAAACCTAATCTTTTTTTAGCACGGAGGAGAGTGTGTGGTTATCTCTCTTTCCCTCTTTCTCTTTTGAATTCTGGATACATATTTGCAACAGAGCTCATTAGCACTCTAACGTATAAAACCTTCAACTTGACGATCTACGCCGAAAAGCTCACGCAATGTGACTGCAGCTGGAGCCAGCAAAAAAGAACCAGTACTGTTTGTTTCATTAAGCTGTGGCCTCAGTTATCAAGTTGGCCAGCTTTAATGATCTCAAAGATGTGGTGGTGAGTTGAGACAACTACGCCACAGACCCATGTTTTACACAGGAATATCTATAGGCCTCATCCAGTTAAATCTACTTTGCTGATTTCATCAAATTTCTAATATCAGGCGGTCACACTTAACAGCGTTTTTCACATAAACATAAGCCTCAGGTCCTTTAATATTTTGAAATACCTGAACACATATTTTGACTGAGGCTTGGATGTTGATGGCAGTACCCTTCACAATCAGACTGTTAATGACTACACTTTATATGCTCTAAATGGGCAATCATCTACATTTGTATATTTGCTGCAGGGCTTTGTGACACCCTCTGAGTGTGCAACAACCTTGACGTTATAATTGGCACCGGCTGAAAAATCCATTTTGTTTATATTCCATGCAACATAATAGCCTTCTTTACATTGGAAATTTTATGTCTATCTAAATGTGCGTCATTACAGCTTGGAGATATAATTAAATGAGACGGGGACAGAATTCCCAACAAGCCAACGAGTCAATAAAAACAAACCATTGATAGAATATATTACCATGTGCAGCAAATGAAAATATGAAATGAAAGCAAATATAGCTTTTTAGGTCACAGTTCTCGCCTATAGCAATGATCACACTGATGCCTTTCTTATGTTGGCCAATCAGCATCAGATCTTAACAACAAGCTGGTTTTTCACAGAATTGTAGCATCCTGCAGACCAGTTACATTCCCTCAAGTGCTTTAGTCAGCAACTGTCAGACAGAGCTATTGCGACAGACAGTAGCTGGGTCCAGTGTGTGTGTGTGTGTGTGTGTGTGTGTGTGTGTGTGTGTGTGTGTGTGCGCGTGTGTGGAGAAAGACAGCAAAATCCCTCTTATGCCAACATAACTACTAGTGCTCCACCTCCCCAAGGCCTTCCTGGCACTGGCAGTTTGACTTTCACTGAATACAAGTGGCAAACACAAGAAAAAACAAAAACCAAAAAAAAAAAAAAAAGGAAAAAAGAGAGTCCTGCATCTCATTACAATTTTATACCAACATTCATCTTTTGATCGGCAGCTCTTTTCTAAATAAACAGTGAGAAGAGAGACAGGGTGAGGGGAGAATACTTGGGAGAGAGTGAAATAGAAGTATATCATAAGCAAAAGGATGAGATGGTAAAGAGATAAAAGTGAAAGACAGGAATGGCCAAGAACCCATGGGACTCTTTGTGCAGAGCCATTCAGCTTGGGAAATAACACTGGCCTGTGTCGTGCGCAGAGGAGAAACCAGCAGTCACACATTAAAGCAGAAAGTGAAGGAGAGCCCCGAGCCTCACACAACTCACAGAGGTACAATAAAAGATATAAGAAGGCCTGATGCACACAAACATTCACACAAATACAACCATGTTTCCTTCATTCTTGAGTTTTCACATTTTCTCTCAAAAATGAAAGTCATTCTTCTATGGAGAGGGAGTACGCTTTTGCTGCAATAAGAAGTGATGTACGTGACATTCTCTGTGGCATTGTAGATGGGGTTGACAGTGATGTGGACGGTCATACCGATCATGCTGTTGAGAGAGAGATCCTGAATCCTTTTCTGGTTTGGACCCAGTGGAGCTCCACAAAATGACACAGGGGAGTAGAGTGGCGACAACCCCGAACTGACAGAGAGTGGGGAGAGAGAATATTAATTGAATACATTTTTTTCCACATGAAAGCAAGGCGCACATCCATTATTGAAAGCAAGTGAATGGGGAGTGATAAATGAATATTGCTTGTGCGAATGATGGATGTGATCCGCTTTTTAATAAATTACTGACCCAGAGGGACACAGCAGCTTTCGCAGAGGATGACATGTGTACTGATTCCTTCTATTGATTAGATGCTGCTGACTTAAAAAAAAAAAGAAAAAAAAAAAGAGATGATTCCTAGAAAAATAATTTTCATGACTGCTGATGGAGTTTGATACACTGGCCGCTTCATCTAAGATTGAACAGATACAGCACAGTGACATGCCTCACCCTCAATAACTTAATTTATCTGTAGATGCTCAGCACACCGTGACAAACACCATGTCACAGAGGGAATTATAATTTATGTCAATATATCAAACCTGGGCCAAGGCATGTTTTTAGGATTTGTTCTGGCTTTGAAATAGGAACACTGTGTACCAGAATATCTGAGCAATTACAAGCAAGCATCAGAATATCAATGTAATTTAGTGTGAAAGACAACTGCCATCATCTGAACAGTCCGGAAATAGAAAACCCACCTGTCTGAAACTTCAAGAAAATAAAACTCAAACAAAACTATAATAAGACACTTCATCATAGAGAGGCAAAAAGAAGAATATGTCAACGCTCCTTAATTCACTGCTGTAGATTTCTGTTGTTTTCCCAAATTAAACTGGTTTGCTCACAGGCAGACAAACCTCTCTCAGCCTCACACAGGAAGGTAACTTAAGAGGGAGATACAAAACTGTCTCCTCGACAGCAGCAAGGGAGTGTTCCATCAAAGGCAAGCAGGGCTCATCAACGTGAGCTAAACTCTCTGCACCCCTACATACGCCAGTCACTAAGAAGACTAAATTTAGGTCAGAGGATTATGTAGTTTAAAGTCAGTTTCAGTCACCTTACAAAGTAGTCAAACTTTCCTTCTTGCCATTTCAGCCACCACCCGCAAAAACTGTAATATAGCTTGACAGAATGATTTGCATATGTGTGTGTGTGTGTGTGTGTGTGTACCTAGGATTACAGGCAGCCTTGCCAGTGTGGGCTTTGAGCTCCCACAGCATGACTCTGCCGTCACTGACCATCAGCCCAGCATTGTTTTCGTTGACAGGGCAGATAACCATGCGATATGGGCGAACTGTCTTGGTAACTCGGATGGCATCACACTGAGAGCGGAGGTCGTAGACGAGCTCCTGGACACTCTGTTCTGGATCTGAGGGAGAGAGGGATGGAGAAAGAAACAGAGAGACACAAAGGAGATTAAAGTGGTCGAAAGGTAAGGAAAGAAAGTGTGACAGTAAGGGAGAGTGGAAAACAAGAATGGTGGGAGATAAAAACTAATCAGATGGAATCAGAGCAAATTGGTGAAGACATGAATTGAGGTGCATTGAAAAAAAAAGAAGGAAAAAAAAGTGAAAATTTGGAAGAAGACACTGAGTAAATTTTAACAGTAAAGGGAATGGAGAAAGAAAGAGGCAGGGAGGTAGATAATGGTGCAATTGAGAGAAAATGCAAGTGAGAGACCAGAGAAAACAATTTCTGAGGAGGTTAGAGGAGGAGCGTCGCGAGGTACAAGAAAGGATTTAAAGAAGATAAGACAAGAAGAAAAGGAAATGAGAGAATAAATGACTGCATGAGAGACTCACAAAGGACATGGCAGGAAAAAAGACAGATGAGTAGACAGTGGAAGAGATTGCAAGAAGAGTAAGAGAGGAAGGGAGAGATACAGCGAGACAATGGACTCCCATCGGCCTATAACATTAAGCCAAAGATAAATGAGACAGTAAGAGGCTAAATGCCCACTGGAGCATAGAGACAGACTCAGACTGCAGTGCAGTTTGGCTGAATAGACGACGACACTGTGACAGCACAGGAGCGACAGTGGTTTGTGAGTGAGTGCAGTGCAACCGGCATGTGCTGTATGTATAAGTGCGCATCTATGCGAAGACATTTCATACCTGCTGCCTCCTCTGGAGTGGTAGTAGAGCGACACACTCGAAGGGTGATGCACCCGTTCTCATGGAGACAGTAGAGGGCGTCCCGCTGAGCACAGGGAATAACCTAAACACAGGGAGAGAAAGAGAAGCAGTGAATGATCACAGAATGAGAAGTCTGTATGTGTCATTTTTTTTGATTTACTACAAACACAAATGTAAACAAAAGCAAAGCTAAATCGAGCCCCTCTGTCAGCCTGAAAAGATGAGGACTTTTGTCATTTAAAAAGTAACTACAGCAACTAGCGACAGACTTTAAGCTGATCAGTAAATTTTAATAATGATCAAGCATTCATCATTGATCACTTTTAGTCATTTTTGTCTTGGTCACTATGTTGCCACAAGGCCATGTCTCACATAGATGTTTGACCCCTAACATTTTAATTTAACTTATATTTTAAATGCTCTAACTCCATTTATACAAGTGAAGTTGCACAAAATATTACAAACACTTTCCCATATAGTGCAATACAAATCAACATCACGACAATTTGCAGCCTTTTCAGGCGGCCATTGAGATGCATCAACACCTCATTGAAGTTGAGCATTTCAACTTTAGTGATAGATTTTGTATCAGATTGCATTAGATGTGCAGCTACTATATGTGTACCAGCTCTGTGTACACTGTGTATGTGCCAAATCTGACAGTGTGTAGTATAGATGTTCATGTGCCTATATTTCGTGGCCTTTCCTTGGCTATTGGACCTTCTACATTCCAGGCTGAATATTTGTTGAAGCTGTGTCATCAGTCATGCAAATTGGCTGCATGACAAGCACTTTATAACACTTAGAGAAGGGAGGCGTTGGCCGGACAGACCCTGGGCGGCTGAGTAATCCCCCTTTACTCCTGCTCTCTGACTTCAGGACTTACTCCTTCACTACAAAGGCTCGTTTTACCTTTGTACTATTTAACCGTGGATGCATTTGTTCAAAAAAGAACACTGACAAGCCAAAGAAAGTAAGATTTATGGAAGTATAATAGAATATAGAACATAACGTAATTCCTTACGCACCAAAAATGTCAATTGACCACGTTGATAAAATAAGGAATAGCAAACTGGCCCCTGCATGCGCATATAGGCATGAACTTCAAGGCTATACATTTAAAAGGGAATATTATGGCTCATATAGAGTGCAACAACCGTAGTGGAAACCATGAGATCTACTCAGCGTAATGACAAGCCACCACGACAGTCCTTCACAGACAGACACGGAGTGTTAGGGGTGAAGGCAGAGTGAACAGAGTGACATTAACAGTTTCTGCTCCAATATTGGCTCTGGAGCCGTGACAAATCCTCTACCTAATACCTCCACAGCATTCATCAATTTCCAATTAGAAATCCAGACTCCAAAAGATGGGAATTGGCACCTAAAGGTCACTAGTGCTGCTGAATGTGACTACAGAAAGAAAGTCAGACAGTATGTAGGCTGGTGGGATTTTTTTTTGCTGTAGCTAAGGACTGCATGGCCTTGCTGTGCTGTCACCAGACCTTGATGAGGTGAACACGGAGAGGGAGGAAGAAAAGTGGAGAACTTTATCATTCACGGCAGGGGGAATTGGCTTCCCGGAAGAATCATCCATAAAAAAAAGACAGAATTTGGTAAAGCGCTTCTAGTAATGCAATAAAAATAGAAACTGTGCACAGGGCTCATTTGAGGGGAAGGAAACATGGTGATGTAAGAAGTATGTTAGAGTGAGACAGCACAGTCATCTTTTCATTTATCTCACCTTGACCAACAAAGATGCAGCGCGAACATTTTGGAAGTTGTCTTTGAATGTAACTTCCAAATGTAAAGCAGAAATGTCTCTCTGCATCACATTCTTAACCATCAGAAAAAGGGTGTAGAGCTGAGAGACTTCTCACCTTCAGTAGTTCAAATTCAAAACTGCGTTGCTCTTTTTTACATTTTCCATTTCCACAAACTCTAATTCTGTCAAGTTTTACAGAGACCCTTACCACACAGAATTTGCTGATCATGTGCACAGTGCCTCACCTGAGTGAAGGGCACCCCAGAGCGCTCAATGGCCACCACACCAACCGTCTGGCTGAGCTCCAGGTCCAGGATAAGGATCTCTCTGGGATAAAGTAGCAGCATGTGGTTCCTCTTGGATGGCAGGTAGGACAGCTGCAGACAGTCGTTCAAAGTCACCGCCTCTGCACTACAGATCCACATAGGAGAGTAAAGACAGGAATGTACACAAAGTAAGAAAAGGAAATCAATTTCGGTGTCAAGATCATTTTTTAACTGACAAAATTTGGTACATCCTTGGAAATGGTAAGCCAAAGGCCTTTAAGAAATGAATTCATCTTTTGATAAGTTAACTCGAATTTCAGAGATAATCATGCCTGCAACTCCACCAAAATATCCAAGGATACAGCATTTCGTACATTTGGCTATTGTCTTGGTTTTGCATGTAATGCACTGTAACTACTAGAAATGAAGATGTAGATAACAGGATGTATTGCCTGCAGGCACGGTGTCAAAAATACAACACATGGATATGAAATATTCAAATGATATGCAGACCAATGTGAAGATGGATTAGAAAATCTTAAAACAAGCTTAATAAAAACTGTCTCATTTCATAGTTCAACTTGATCTTTATTCATGTCCTCCCATAGCGAAGGCTGAGTGAATTAGTTATTACTGTTGTTGTCTCTGAGAGTCTCAGGCAAATGAGGGAGAACTTAAAAGTGAATTTGGTCTGACGATGGGAGGCTGATGAATTAAGCAGGTATTGGCAGTAGAAAAAAATCCATTCCTTTACTTTGAGAGTCCTAAAAATGTAAAATATAAACTTAGTCCGTTTGCTGTAACTTCTTTCATGTGTGTTAATTACAAACACTATCATCCACAGCAGCAATCCAGTTCAATCTCTCTGTATGACAACAAAGCAGTCACTAACACTTTGTAGTTCAGTCAGAGAGAACAAAGGGATGATTTTCTCAGAATCTATGAGTGGGTCCATAACTATAACTCATTCCTACAGCTTCATTCCTCTAGGTCACGGTGAGATCAAATAAAGGAGAGACAAACTTTATAACACAATGCCGATCATTATCATCTAGGGGAAAGTATAATAGATAAAATGGACTCAACAGAGGAACCTTTAGGAGTTGCTGAGCTAAATCAGACAGTTACTGGCTCACTGAAGCCAGGCGAGGCAGAGATAGAGGCTGAAATGACTGAGCCACCAAAGGCAAAACATCAGAAAGAAACAGTGAAAGACTTCTGTGTCTTAGATGCAAAAAAGAAAGCAACAGATCTTCACAGAGAAAGAGGAAAAAACTGAAAAAAAGACATATCCTATAACCCCAAACCCTCCCAAAATATTCAGCTGTCCAATTTCCAAAACATCACACACTTCTCACATCTCTCTCTCTCTCTTTGCTGAGAATAAGGGATGAAGGCTACAGCAGTCAGTGGATCATACATAGTAATGTATCGCTACATGCATACATGTGCGCACACACACACACACACACACACACACACAGTGAGTCACGCAAGGTGTGTTTGGAGGAGGCTACCTCAAAGACACCTCCAGCTTCTATTGTTTAATCATGTTAAACAAACTTAAATAACCCAAATGTCATTAAAACCAAATACAATTTTTATACATTATGTAAGTACTTCAGCTTGAGCTTCTGAAGTTTAGACAATACAGAATAAACCCACTTGATACTGGCAGGCAGTGGTGAATAAATCATGACTTTGGCTCAAATGCACATGGGCACCAAATGTGTGCATAATTACATTTTATAAGTGAGCCCCGCAAGTCCTGGATAAAGGAAGACCAGCAGCAGCTGGACATATCTCACAACAGTGGGGACCAAAAAAGAAACAAGATGAAACTAAACTTGAAACTCTCATAAATCATCCTGTGGAAAATAGATAAAAATGTTTTTACAATATAAACCTTCGTAAACCTTGCCCACCTCAGCGGGTCAGTCAGGTCAGTAGGTTCTTGAAATTTAGATAGCTGATCTTTCTTGAGTTTTATGAAATAGGTTGGTACATTTTAGGATTTGCTCTTTCATGTCTTTGAATTTTATTTAATGTTTTTAGGTTGCCCTTCCTGGCTTTAAAAAACAACATTAAAATCCGTTTTGGTTACCGCTTTTAATGACAAAAAAACAGGCTGGCTTTTATTGTGAAGCAGTCACATCCTGGTTACCGATTATTAAGACAGTGACAGTGAGTTTGTTTGGTTGCAGATTCACCAGTTGCTCTTTTGTTGATGCTCTTTGTTATTTCTGCCCCCAGAATTCCTGTAGTGTCGTTACCACGGTAACCACAGGTGTCTGAGATCTTAGGGATTGCTAGTTTTTTAGTGATTATAAATTTGTAAATATTTAAAAAAAATACATTTAGTTTGTCCATGTGTGTGTGTGTGTGTGTGTGTGTGTGTGTGTGTGTGTGTGTGTGTGTGTGTGTGTGTGTGTGTGAACAGGCATGCTGGCGTGTGAGTGTGAAACCAATTTCTGTCACTTTGACAAAGGCACCAAATTTGTGCTGGCTAACAACCACATTAATGGCTGCCTGATGAGACACTAATGTGCATGATATAGTTCTGTATTGAGGGAGTTTCTGATAACAGTCTGGGAGACCAGAGTCTTGTTTAAATCCCCCATCTATCAAACGGAGGTACAGAGGAGAGATACTGTAACGCACTGAACATGATAAACACCATAGCTTGACACACAGACAAAGGCAGACTGAAAGAATACAGCATTTTCAGTGAGAGGAATAACCAACGCATGAAAAGTGGGGGGAAGAAAGTGTCACATACCAACAGTAAACAAAAAGACCGAAATGGACAAGACAAGACAAGAGAGGCGAGAGAAAATAAAGACAAGCAAGATTAATGGACTGTTTGTTATTAGAGCTGACTGGGTGGGTGGACAGAGAGGCCGGGGTGCTGCTGCTATAAATAAGCCTGTTTGACAGTCACAACCGCTCAGGCAGGAAGCTGCCAGCACATCAAAAAAGGCTTTGGTTCCATTGCAACTTTTTGTAAAGTAATGCCTTAAACAGTTTTACAAGTTTGTCACTGAATGTTACAAAAATGAGGTTAGCCACTACTTTGTCTGTGTTTCAATATGACAAAATAATGTAGTAAATCTTCCAGGCGATAAATCTTCCCAGTTCCTCGGAGAAATCTAGGCGCTTCATTTCCTTACACTTGCTTTCATTTATCACCAGGTTTAACTGTAACTGACGACAGTTTTAACTCCTATAAAGTCTATATTAGAACTTAGGGCATTCGATCTGTTTCAAATCTTGATGGAAACGAGACTAGACACCATGTATGGATGTCCATTTCTGATTTTAATTGTTGGTTGCATTATAGACTGTTCCATAGTCAGGCTGGTCATCGAGCGCACCATGAGAAATCTCGATGGTCCGCCACATCGGTGGGCTGATCAAAAAATCAGATACGGCAGCAAACGGAAACGAGAGACAACATGATTACTGCAGCACATCAGCAAAGCAATAAAAGCCCTGTTAAAAAATAAAGGGTTTCTGTTCAATGAAACATAGTGTTTCACCTAGTGTTATAAATCCCTCTAAAACCACAGATCACCACCAAGACAGTAACTTCCAATTGTGTAACTTCAGCATTCACTCAACTCTATCTCTCACTCAGTCGCACACCAAACTCTTCACTGAGTTGAACAAACAAACAATCACAGAATGAAAACCAGGTCCAAACTCAATTATAATCTCACATAGCAAAGCCTCTTATTTCATCCTATTGCAGAAACATAGTTTCTGGAAAATCTCTCAGGTATTATAAAGTATATAGTTTTACCACATGTGTCATGTCATTTCTCCCAAACAGGAAAGCTGTCACAATTCACTTTCAACAGGTCAGTTCACTTGCTGAACAAGACTAGGTCAAAACCTAGTATATGAGTAGACCACATGTGGTCAGTGAGGGCGTAGTTTCAGATCTTTATCTGTTTGCTTCTCACCTCCTCTCTGTGCTCACATACACAGTTCTTTAATACAGCCGATTTCCCAACAAAGCTGTTTTTCTTTTACATGTTCAGAGTTTTGTTCTGGCTCAAAATGAGGCAGAGGCGGTACCCCCCCCTTATCATGAGCCCTCAGATGCATGTGTACTGCACCTTCAACTGGCTCAAGCAACCAAATTTTTACAGGCACCATACATAAGGAGTATCAGCTGATTTTGGGCTAAATGGGAAATTTTTTCAGTTATGTGACATTCGGCTGAGCAATGGTAGAATTATGATCACTCAACTCTATCATTCAGGCCGTCAGTCAGTCACTCACTCACTCACTCAAAGACACTTGCGATTATAGGACTGCCCCCACTGTCCAGCCAACAAAAGGGGGAGAGCAGCACAAGTTGATTTCATTCAAAAAATGGCATGTTGTTATGTTAATGTGCTCTCAAGACCACATCTTTTATTTTGTATTTTACACTCATATCTAATGGATGGAAACTCTGATTAATAACACAAGACATATTCAGTGCCTGAATATGTTGTGCAACAGCAAAGGACATAACATAATTAATGCATGCTGACAGGAACAGATTCACCACAGGTCAAGGGCACATATACAAACTTTGTAGCTAAAGATGCCCCGAGCATAAAAAAACAGTCTGATAAAATTGTCGCTTTGAACTCAGTTTCAATAAAATTCCATTGAGATGACCCTGAGCAATGCCCTTCAATCCCAGTTGCCGGAGTGAGGTTGCAAATGAACCTCACTTAAAATGCTGATCAGGCTGTGTGAGATTTCTAAAACTGATATGATCAAAGACATATTAAAAAAAATGTTCAAAATGAGTAGGAAATTGCACAGGTGGCCCACCCCCAATGAATTGCTGGCCACCTAGAGTCATGTTTTAAGAAATTAATGCATTTGATTCATTAATAACATGCTTGGAAATTAAAGCCATACAACTTTTTAGACCATCAGCATGATATGTATGTGTAAAGAATGTTTGAGTTTTCCCCTGTATTCTGAAATACAGTTATGGAAGTTCAGTGTAATTTAGTGGCACTTACGTGGGTTTTTCATTGGTGATGAGCACTTTGACCTTGTTGAGGGCTTTCTTGGCTCCGGTCGGGGCCGGGGCAGCAGCGGGAGCAGGTTTGGTGTGGGCCGGGCTTGCATGTGGGCTGGCAATGTAGACCTTTTTGCCAGCGCTGCCTGGCGGTTTGGAGTGGGAAAAGTCTGTGATAAAGACTATTCCTTCGCTGGTCAGCACTGCCGAGGGAGAGCAGGGAAACATTATAAAGGCGCTTATTAAGACCACAGCTGGACAGATTGTCAGTATTCTATTAGCAATTTAAAAAATCCTTTTCCTTTAGACAGTATATTGTTCACTTACGTGCCATATTGGACGGGTCAAAGGGGTCAAAAGAAAAGGAGAGGATGTTCTCAGCGTAGCTCTTCTTCCACAGCTTGGTGCCTGTGTCTCCATTCCACAGGACAATGTAGTTGGGAGGGTGGACGGCTAACAGCAAATCACGAGACGCATCCTGATTCCACAACCATTCCAAGTCTGACAGGGCAAGAGAGGAAGACCGAGAGGAGAATGTGGGAATGAAGAGGATGGGGATGTGGTGTGTGACAGGAGGAAAGACAGAGTGACGGTAAGAGCATCTTAATGAAAACAAATAGCCAACAACAGAGCAACAGCTCAAAGTTTCTCCTTGGCAGCTCTGGCAGAGTAATTTTCTATTTCTGTAGCGAGCTGAGGGAGAAAAAAATCGATTCAAGCCTGCACAATGGGGGTTTGTGGTAGATCCCTTACCTTGAATTGGTTTGGAGTGCTCCTGGATCTCACAATGAGCAGTGCCACTGACTACATCCCACACTATTATCTTCCCTGAGGCATCTCCCGAGGCCAGACGCAGACAGTATGGTGAGCTCAAGTTGTGGTAGTAGTTTTCTCTGGACCATTTCACCTAACAAACACACAACAAATGCTAAGCATCTGGTACAGGCTGCGGAAACATTTCCACAGTGTCAATGTCCACATTATGCCCCTTTTTTTAGTTTTAATGTTGCATGTGTGTGTGCTGATCTGGTGTTCATTGTTGTATTTCCTTATTTTTCTTTAAACTTTGTGTTAAAACAATTTTATGAAGTTGTTTTTATGCTAATGTTAAGCACCTTCAACTGCTGCTGTGTATGAAAAGCACCACACAAATAACATTGACTTGACTTCACTAAACAAAGTAAACAACAGAAGCTGACAGTAGCAGCATATTTCTCAAACAGAAGATGATAAATTTCAGTAATTAAACAACAGATGCCACAATCTTCTTGTTTACTGTAGACTTATTCTAACCCGGATTTTTTTTTTCCTGTATTTGTGCTTTTACACATTCTAACTAATAACTACAGTCCATGGAAATCTGGGCTTAGGGGAGAAAGATACAGAAAACGGGAGAAATCAGTTGCAGACCCTATAGGAAACACACAACATTGATATGAAGCCAGTGCAAGCTCTATACTAAAAAAGACAAATAACTGTATGTATGAACAAGCTGATGTTTAAATAATTGATTATGTCTATATATTTGTTCCTGAACAGCCTTGCCCTTTACTGGGGCTACTACTTTTTTCCCAGCAAGCTTTCCAGTGTCAGCCTGGGTGGTGAGGAATAGCCCGCTGCTGTGGCTGCAGTGCTTTACAAGATTAAAGTGTGCTTTGGAGTGAGGAATGAGAGCGTCGGATTGAGCCCAGGCACTGATAATCACTGTAGAATTTATTGCCCATTATTTACCCTTCTACGAAACACACAAGCATATGTACCCATACACACAAACAATGGGACTCTCTGTCACTTTAGAAGCAACCTTTATCAGTGTTGCTGGTGTGGGCTCAGAGAGTGAAGCAGAGCTGAATTTGTCGACTAGACAGAGGGACAAAAACAACTTAGTTCAACGTCAAACAATGCTGACATTAATACTGGGTTATAAAGAATTATTCCATGAACAGCTGTGTGTTTGTATTACACCGGGAAAGCCTAAAATTATCAAGAAACTGACATTAATGTTAAGGACAAAGGGCATAAGAGCAATAAAGATATTTAAAGCTTAAGCTTACAAACCAGTTTTTGCTCAAATATTCAATAAACACCGTCCGAAAACAGACTTTCTTCACCCAAAGTATTCTTTTCACATTAATCAGGTCAACCTGTCACATATTTCTTTTTTTTTACCTCCACTACACACCACTACACTACAATATTCTACACTAAGTTTTCAGTTCTTTTTCTGTGGTGTTTTTAGATTGTTTTTTTTCTCCAACCACTTACATTACTGACAGTTTTCAAATCATATTTTGCAGCCAATGGAGCAGAGCTACAACTATTAGACAATTAGTTGATTAGTGAATTGAAAGTAAATGAATTTTATTAATATTATCTTCTGCTTTTATTTCAATGTTTCTTTGATAGTCAGTGAAATTACTTTGGGCTTTTGAAGGTTACATGTCACTTTGGGCTCTGGAAAATTGGAATGGGTAGTTTTCAATTTTTTGACATTTTACAGACTAAACAATTTATAACTTAATTGAGAAAATAACCAACTGAGTGATCGACAATGAAAATAATTGTTACTTGGAGCCCACTATAAAGCTAAACAATCACACAGATGGAAAAAAGTTAAGTTAGGAAACTCACCTTGACAACGTTGGCTTTGTGCCTTTCCAGAACCTGGATGGTCTGGGCTGTCTTTGGATCAATGATGAGAATACTGGAGTGACATCCCTGAGCTATCAGCCCCTGCCAACCCCTACAGTGTACGAGAGTCATAGGGAAGAAGAGGAAGAGGACTTTTACTGATAAAAAAAAAACTGAATGATTAGGCTAGCAGGAGGTAGCTGAAAGTACTTTCCACTGCAGAATAAAAGAGATGGTTTGTGAGTGGGATATCGAGCCAAATCATGTGCAACACCACATAAGACAACATCAATTGATGTGCTCATTTGGCCTGACACTAATTTGTACACCCTCTCCTTTGAGTATAGTATTATTTAGAAGCTGTGTCTGAATTACAGTTTCCTGCTCTCCACTTCATGTCTATGTTAATCTTCATCTTTCAGTGTGCATGCAACGTCTGCATTCAAATGTGGATGGACCGCATCCTGATTCCACAAAAATATCAACTCAAATCAAATTCTGAAACTCCACTATTAGCTTAAGCTTATTTTTGTACACAGGGACTTTCAATTAATGAGTCCTGGTGCAACAAACTGATACAACTGCTAATCCAACAAGTGTGTGACTGTAAACCACAATAGGGGAATAATAAAGAAATTAAGAGTAGCTGCGGGTGATGACTACACCGTATTACCCACATTATATTCCTCATACCTCATCATTCACACTTTTTTTTATTGTCAAATTTGGTTAATGGAGAGTGAGAGGTCTCAGCTGTGAATATTGCAATGTTTAAGCTATGACTCATTCCGCTTCATGTGTGGAATAAAACTGTGGTTATGCAACCTTTGTCTAAAACAATAATACTTCTGGTAGTTTTAAGCGAGTTCAGTCACAGTCTCCGTCAGATTACAGTTGGAAGATAAGGCTTAGAATTTTCATCAGGCCCAGCAAAATGTCACATCACATCACATCACATGACACAAGATACCCTGCATGTTTCTCTTGTTTTGATGAGAGAAAATCTACATTACTGACATCAATTAACACTGGCATCTTTCTAAGCAGCAACGAAAGGAAACAGTGTAATGAAACGCATACAATGTAATTAGCAGTTCGTACACATCATCTGTCAGTCGCACATCTGACTGGCTTAACGAGCTACAACCAGGCTACAATATTATGCTAGCGGCAAAGGGTCTGAACTCACCAATCTACCGCGGTTTTATTCTGCAAATTGAGAGTGCCAGTCAACGTCCGAGCTGCGAGTTTGATGTTGACGGTGTAAGGAATCATTTTTGGTCGTTAGTATTTACGCTACATAAACATTTGTTCGCCAAAAGCTGCTAAAATGAATTAGCTTCTCTGGTTCGGCTCTGTTGTGAATTCTGACAGGAAGTGAAACGGTGTTTCTAAACGGAGCGCCGTGCGGGAACAAAAAAAGCGTAACAAGGTTCCAAGGCTTCACATTTCTCGATGCAATTTTTTTTAATGAATAAGTTCTCTTAAAATGTCGAATATTTTTACTGACAAGACGAGCAAAAACATTTACGACTACAAATGGACCTCTGAATCAAAATAAATGATTTTTTTTTCCAGCTAAGTAGATGTGAATTTGACACTGCACTATAGAAAATCACAAAATATACTAAACAATTAATTCACTATTTATTTTACATCATATAGAACTATAACATTTTAAAGAAGTATAAAAGTGAAACATTAAATTATATTAGAATATTTTGTATTGCTTGTCTATTTGATATAAAATGCCTAAAGTGCAATAAAAAATGTTTCCAATTACATAGGAGATGCACAAAATAAGAGAGTGAAGAGTCTGTAAGAGTTGAAATACATCAGTTTTTGTCTTATAATTTTAGAGCCCTAGTTATTTTACTGACCCACAAAATTTTATTAATGAGCTAAAAAAAAATTGCAATTATAAACATGTTGACAAGCTGGCAGTGATATTTCAACTGGGGTGTCAACTCAGAAGTTGTATTTCAGTTTTAACCGAATGTCACCAATCAAATACAAAATATTATTAGAGACTCTCTCTTTTTTACTCTCTTTTTTTCTATTAGCCATTTCTGTTATACAAAATAGTATAAGATCATATTAAATCTTCAATAATATCGAGTGATAAACACTTGTCCCAGCAGCTTAGTTTTCATCCTAATTTCCCTGTGTGATTGCCTTGAGATATTGATGATCTTATGTACCCTGGGATGCCAAAGAATCTGAGTTTCTTGTGAGACCCCATGCAGCTCAGAGTGGGTGTGCTGCAAGGAACAGTGTCCCACAGGAATATGGTGTTGTCATTTTCTCATCTGACAGGCTTTGAAACATCACACAAGGGAGTGCTGTGGATGGCTTTTGGCCACCACAGCTGTGCAACTTAAATATAAACTACTTCATATATCCGTTGGCAGTTCAGACTCTCAAAATCTTTCTGCTTTTTATTTGGCAGCACTTTCCTCCCTGCAGTCCCTGCACAAGCTGGCGCACTGGTTGATCGTGCGGAACACACAGCCATTACTCCAGGGAAAGAACTGTGTCCTGCATGAGTCTTATATGGCGGATAAACCTCAAACTCACAGGTTTGACTGACAACCAACACAGTCTGCTCTCAGTGTATTAACAACTTTGACACATACACATAATATCTGTAGTCTCTGACATGTTCTGCTGCCCCAACTCTGGATCCTCTGATCAGGGACAACCACAATTAACTTCTTTAACTATCTATAAAGCCTGTAACACATATATCCATACTGTCTCTGTGGAGCTATATTCTTCTTTTTTTTTTCCTAAACATAACATCATCAGGTCGAGAATAGGAGTGACTTCAATTTCACAAGAAAAAATGGGTCTCAAAAAAACACTTGACTTGAGCTTTTTGTTCTTAAATAACAATAGACCTTCACATTTGATCAGAGGTTAGCGTTCAAGTTAGAGATTCTCTAACAAGATGAAATGAAGAAATGAAGTTGCAGAAAAAGTTAAACAAAGTGGGAAAAGGACAGAAGTTTTTCTGTCATTTAGTGACCTCAAGAAAGATTTTCCATCAACTGGTAGATGACCCTATCTGATTCTCAAGAAAACTATAGATATATATATCTTTGACAAAGGCCTATTGAACAAGACAGGTTTCCACAGTACTAACAATGAGGCACATTTCTGTCATTTGTAGAGACACTGTAGTAGAGACATGGACACAAAATATAGTAAAATATTTTCATAATCAGAAAATGTATAGAGTATCCTCACTCAAGGTTCATTGGTTGCAAATGCAGCATTGTTAAAGATGTTTTTCTTAAAATAAGAGAACCACATTGTTATGTTAGGCTATTTTCAACAGGGAGTTGTCATAAAACATTTGCCCTGCGCATTTTCAGTGTATCACAACAATACATTTAAATTATAATTCCAACATGTATCTAACCTTTCAAAATTATTTTTCATATTGTATGAATTAAGTCTAATAAACAGATCGAGGTAGAGGGAAACAAAATTCCAATCTTATTTTTCCTTTGTGACAGGCAGACCAAATGGACATGTTTCACAGCTCTCTTTGTTGCATGGTTATTGGATTTCTGTTAACAAACCCATGCAGCTCCTTTTCCTCTCTTTTCTGATTTGCATGTTAATTGTCAATCGGTTGACTCAAGATTGCATTTCGTTTTACATCCTCGATGTTTGACTGCCTGTCAAAATCATCTAGAGCTCACGGTTTACTGCACGCTCAATGTACACATTTAGAATCCATCACATTCATCATAATTATTGCAGACCTGCCTTCTTTAGGAACACTGCTGAGCTGATGATATAGAATCATTTAACTATTACTCACCCGTTCCTGAGGTGCACACTTTTAAATTACAGTCAGACATAAAGCTGCTCTCCGTATCAAGATTTTCAAGGTTGTGGATATCATTTTGACAGGTTATGAGCGAAATATATTGTCAATTGTCGTGATATTTTCAGAGGAAATTCAGCTGCAGCATACTGAATGTGTTACCACAATTTAAGTGATACAGTGTGTCATTTAAAAGTCTCTTTCTGCAGTGACCTGGAGAAGCAGTTCATCTTTTCTTCACAGTTCATGAGAGAGGCTTTCATCCCATACGCTACTGTGGCCATGATTTGCATTTTGACTCAGTTAGAGGTAGTATGGTAAAATGGGAAAATCTACTTTGATGATGATAGGAATCAGCTGTATACATAGAATATACAAGTTTGTGAGGAGTCTATATATATATAAATAAATAAATAAATAAATATATATTATATCAGTATGCCGCAGCTGAATTTGCTCCGAAAATATCATGACAATTGACAATATATTTCACTCATAACCTGTCAAAATGATATCCACAACCTTGAAAATCTTGATACGGAGACCAGCTATATGTCTGACTGAAATTTAAAAGTGTGCACCTCAGGAACAGGTGAGAAATAGTTAAATAATTCTATATCATCAGCTCAGCAGTGTTCCTAAAGAAACCAGGTCTGCAATAATTATATATCTATATATCCTCACAAACGTGTTTGTATGATGAGATATCTCATTACAATTAGGCTGGAGGATGTTGTGACGTTGTTTGGAAACTACAGGAGGAAACCTATCTCATTTCGCATTTAAGTTAGTTTTCCCTACTTGATGTTACATGAATGTGGCTTAAAAAGGAACTGAGGGACTGAGAATGAACAGCAGCAAGTGGATTCACAGAAATGAACAATCAATGATCTTCTCATCTGAATGCATGAGACCGTTACCAAGCATATTTCTAAAATGTCAAAGTGTCTCGTCAGGAATATGTCTGGGTTGTCCTGGTCAGCTAATGGTCTGAAAACATGTACAAAGTAACCTTGACAACCCTCATTTGGTTCTGTCCAGGGTGAAGAGTCAGCCCATGTCTTTCCACAATATCTACTGTCAAACTACTATCTTCTATAGAGCCTTACAGATGACAGCTGTGTTATTGGGACATTTCTTGAGGCACATCCACCTGCTGTCGTCAGTGCAACCGCTTGCCGCTTGTTCACTATAGATACAGGATTGCAGTCGTGTTTTAACTTTCATTACCCCATTCAGACTCTGCACCTGATTTCCATTTGTATATAGTCGTTTAACTCACAGTGCTGATGTGCCGTTTATCACGACTTGATATCAAAATACTGAACATACATTCACTTTACATTAAAACTGATGCTACTTTTGCTTATTTTTTTACCTGTATGGAGTAGAAAGACTGCAAAACAAACCCACAAAAACACACACTGTAATTGTTATACCATTATCAAGTTGTTAAGACCAATATATTCAGACACAATGACAGGAGCGTCCCATCAGAATCGTGTTTCTGGCCTAACAAGCAAAATAAATGACAAAATACATCATTTGTAATTGCTCTCCTGAGGAAGTGTTTTCTGGTCTTTTCTTATTATGTCTTCCAAAACTGTTACAATTCACAATTGCAAAAATAATAGTTGCCTTCTACTCGTTATCGTTAAGTTTTCGTCAGGTTTAGGTATAAAAACAACTTGGTTAGAGTTGGTGAAAGAGTATCGTTTGGGTTATTCGGTTCAAGGAACGTTTCAACATTTTAGGAAATACACTTGTTCGCTTTCCTGCCATGAGTAAGATGAGAAGATCAATATGCACCTATACCTACACCTCTAAATCTCACTTATTAACAACATTTATCTTGTTTAATCTGAAAACCCAAGAGTTAAACAACAAGTTGTTGGTTATTTGGGTGTCTTTTCTGGCCACACAAATGTTCAGTAGTCGTATTATATTATATATTCATATTTTTTTTAGCTGTGGTTTGGTCTCTACCAACTCCTGAGAAAAATATCTGGACAGGCATCGTTTGGCAGGTGAAAGGTGGTAAAACAGTCCGTCATTTCTCTCCCTTGTTTTCCTTCTTACAGCCATTAGGTTTCTGTGGCTGTTCTGGCCAAGGGGTGTGGGTGGCAAAGTGTAATGAAGGTTCTGTAATGAAAAGGGAGAGCAGGGATAATCACACTTTGGGTCACGTAAAAACCCAATTAGAGCCTGAGTGCTCTGAGTGCGCTTAACTGCTGGTTGTCAGCCGTGTGAAATATCCCCATGATTCCCACTTCCAGGCTCAATATCCACTCTTATTTTAGATGTATTTATGAGCATGCTGAAATGTTTTATTGATGCACGGTGGGTATGGTATATTTATTCACACAAGCTCTGCTGACTCTCACCTCGTGGCTCTATGATGCGCTTTACAGGAAATGATAGCACCTACATTTGCTCAAGAGGATTATAAAAACTACAGATTACCAGTATTAGGGATTAATGCTTTTATTTCTGGTAAAGAAATATAAGGCCTATGTCTTTAAA